TGATGGAGGCACTGCTGCGTCCATGGGGATGGGGATGGAGGCACCGCAGCGTCCATGGGGATGGGGATGGGGATGGGATGGGGATGGGATGGGGATGGAGGCACCGCAGCGTCCGTGGGGATGGGGATGGGGATGGAGGCACCGCAGCGTCCATGGGGATGGGATGGGGATGGAGGAAGGGTGAGGGGATGGCCCCCAACGGGATGCCAAGAGGCAGGAATGGGCTCTGGAGGGGAAACGGAGCCCAAGGAGCAAGGAAAACCACGGCCCAGAGGTCAGGAACCCACGGGGACAGGAGGGAGCTGCTCCGGGGAGCGGGAGCCAGCCGGGCTCCAACGGGAGGAGCCCGAGCACCAGCGCCCGCGGGAGGGAGCGCAGCTCCTGGGGGCTCTCCAGCCCCATTCCCACCCCTTCCCTTCCCTTCCAGCCCCATTCCCACCCCTTCCCTTCCAGCCCCATTCCCACCCCTTCCAGCCCCATTCCCACCCCTTCCCTTCCCTTCCTGCCCCATTCCCACCCCTTCCAGCCCCATTCCCTTCCCTTCCAGCCCCATTCCCAAACCCTTCCCGTTGTCCAGCCCCATTCCCACCCCTTCCAGCCCCATTCCCTTCCCTTCCTGCCTCATTCCCACCCCTTCCAGCCCCATTCCCGATGTCCCACCCCACTCCCGCTGTCCCGCCCCATTCCCTCCCCGTTCCCTCCCCGTTCCCGGCCCGCTCCCGCTCTGCCCTGCTCACATGGGGTGTTTGTCGAACATGAGGGGCAGGAACTCGTCCACGGGCAGGAGCTTGGCCAGGGGCTGGGCCGCCAGCAGCTTGCGGGCCCCGCGCAGCCCCAGGACGTAGCCCAGGCTCCAGTAGGAGTAATCGGCTTCCACCAGGTTCCGCACGCCCGGCACCGGCCGCTCCGGCCGCTCCAGCTGCATCCGCTTCCTGCCGATGTAACTGCGGGGAGCGGAGCGGTGGGGCTGGGAGCGGCGGAGGGGCTGGGAGGGGCGCGGTGGGGCTCAGTGGGGCTGGGAGCAGCAGAGCGGGGAGCGGTGGGGCTGGGAGCGGCGGGGGGGGCGCAGTGGGGCAGGGAGCGGGGCTCCCTCCTCCTCCCGCCCCGTTCCCATTCCCGTTCCCGTTCCCGTTCCCATTCCCGTTCCCGTTCCCATTCCCGTTCCCGTTCCCGTTCCCATTCCCGTTTCCGTTCCCGTTCCATTCCCGTTTCCATTCCCGTTCCCGTTCCTGTTCCCGTTCCCACCCATTCCCCATTCCCGTTTCCATTCCCGTTCCCATTCCCATTCCCGTTTCCATTCCCGTTCCCATTCCCGTTCCCATTCCCGTTCCCATTCCCATTCCCGTTTCCATTCCCGTTCCCATTCCCGTTCCCGTTTCCGTTCCCGTTCCCATTCCCCGTTCCCGTTCCTGTTCCTGTTCCCATTCCCGTTCCCATTCCCGTTCCTGTTCCCGTTCCGGTTCCCATTCCCATTCCCATTCCCGTTCCCATTTCCATTCCCGTTCCCATTCCTGTTCCCATTTCCATTCCCGTTCCCATTCCTGTTCCTGTTCTGGTTCCCATTCCCGTTCCCATTCCCGTTCCCATTCCCGTTCCCCCCGTTCCCGTTCCCATTCCCGTTCCCCTTCCCGTTCCCGTTCCGGTTCCCGTTCCCATTCCCGTTCCCGTTCCTCTTCCCGTTCCCCTTCCCGTTCCCGTTCCGGTTCCCTTTCCCATTCCCGTTCCCGTTCCCATTCCCGTTTCCATTCCCGTTCCCGTTCCCATTCCCGTTTCCATTCCCGTTCCCGTTCCCATTCCCGTTCCCCCCGTTCTCTTTCCCGTTCCCCTTCCCGTTCCCCTTCCCATTCCCCTTCCCATTCCCGTTCCGGTTCCCGTTCCGGTTCCCTTTCCCGTTCCCATTCCCGTTCCCGTTCCTCTTCCCGTTCCCCTTCCCGTTCCCCTTCCCGTTCCCCTTCCCGTTCCCGTTCCGGTTCCCGTTCCCATTCCCGTTCCTCTTCCCGTTCCCCTTCCCGTTCCCGTTCCCGTTCCGGTTCCCGTTCCGGTTCCGGTTCCCGTTCCCATTCCCGTTCCCGTTCCGGTTCCCGTTCCCGTTCCCATTCCCGTTCCGGTTCCCGTTCCCGTTCCCGTTCCCCGGACGCTCACATCAGGTCCCACGGGATCCGCTGCGTTTCGAGCTCCTGCATCAGGGTCCGGAGGCGGCGCTTGAAGAAGATCTCGAAGCGGAGATCGTCCTCGAAGACCAGCGAGGCCCGGAGCCCCCGCGCCGCGATCTGCGGGGGGCAACGGGGGGCAGCCCCTGACCCCCCCATCCTGCTGCTGCTGGGGAGAGGGATCCAACCCAGGGACAACAGGGATCCAACCCAATGGGATGGGGGAGCCAACCCAGGGACTACAGGGATCATTATTAACGGATCATTCCCATCATTCCCACCAGGATTAAGGGCTCATTCCCATCATTATTAAGGGCTCATTCCCATCATTCCCATCATTATTAAAGGCTCATTCCCATCATTCCCATCATTATTAAGGGCTCTATTCCCATCATTCCCATCATTCCCATCATTATTAAAGGCTCATTCCCATCATTCCCATCATTATTAAGGGCTCTATTCCCATCATTCCCATCATTATTAAAGGCTCATTCCCATCATTATTAAGGGCTCTATTCCCATCATTCCCATCATTATTAAAGGCTCATTCCCATCATTCCCATCATTATTAAGGGCTCTATTCCCATCATTCCCATCATTATTAAAGGCTCATTCCCATCATTCCCATCATTGTTAAGGGCTCTATTCCCCTCATTCCCATCATTCCCATCATTCCCATCATTATTAAAGGCTCATTCCCATCATTATTAAAGGCTCATTCCCATCATTCCCATCATTATTAAAGGCTCATTCCCATCATTCCCACCAGGATTAAGGGCTCATTCCCATTATTATTAAGGGCTCATTCCCCTCATTCCCATCATTATTAAAGGCTCATTCCCATCATTATTAAGGGCTCATTCCTATCATTCCCATCATTATTAAGGGATCATTCCCATCATTCCCATCATTATTAAAGGCTCATTCCCATCATTCCCACCAGGATTAAGGGCTCATTCCCATTATTATTAAGGGCTCTATTCCCATCATTCCCATCATTATTAAAGGCTCATTCCCATCATTCCCATCATTATTAAGGGCTCTATTCCCCTCATTCCCATCATTATTAAGGGCTCATTCCCATCATTCCCATCATTATTAAAGGCTCATTCCCATCATTCCCATCATTATTAAGGGCTCTATTCCCCTCATTCCCATCATTATTAAGGGCTTTATTCCCCTCATTCCCATCATTATTAAAGGCTCATTCCCATCATTATTAAAGGCTCATTCCCATCATTATTAAGGGCCCATTCCTATCATTCCCATCATTATTAAGGGATCATTTCCATCATTCCCATCATTATTAAGGGCTCATTCCCATCATTCCCATCATTATTAACGGCTCATTCCCCTCATTCCCACCAGGATTAAGGGCTCTCCCCCCCCCATTCCCCCCGGGATCAGCTCTCACCTCCTGCCAGACCCGGTAGTGGCTCAGGAAACATCCCAGCTCCCCCTTGGTGAGCGGGCGGCCGTGGTACGGATCCCGGTATCCCGGCAGCATCCGGATGCCCAGCGCCTGCACCTCGCTGCTGTTCATGGCCCTGCAAGGCCCCCGCCTGCAGCCCGGCCCCATTCCCATGGGAGCTGGGAATTCCGCCCCCCCCCCCCCCCCCCCCCCCATCACTCACCTCCCATCCACGGCCTCCACCAGCTTGCAGGAGATCTCCTGCTCCCGCAGCGTCCGCAGCATCCGCGCCCGGCGCTCGGCGCGGCGCCGCAGGTTGATGAGGAAAACCTGGAGAAAGAGGGAATGGGGGGGGGGGGGGGGGGATGGAGAAAGGGGGGGAGAGAAAGAGCAAAAAGTCAGGAAATAGAAAAAAATTCCAAAAATTCCAGGAAAAGGGCAAAAACTAAACAAAAATTCCAGAAAAAGGAAAAAATTCCCCAAAATTCCAGGAAAAGGGGAAAAATAAACAAAATTCCAGAAAAAATAAACAAAAATTCCAGAAAAAGGAAAAAATTCCCCAAAATTCCAGGAAAATAGGAAAAAAATTAAACAAAAATTCCAGAAAAAGGAAAAAATTCCCCAAAATTCCAGGAAAAGGGAAAAATAAACAAAATTCCAGAAAAAATAAACAAAATTCCAGAAAAAGGAAAAAATTCCCCAAAATACCAGGAAAAGGGAAAAAATAAACAAAATTCCAGAAAAAATAAACAAAATTCCAGAAAAAGGAAAAAATTCCCCAAAATACCAGGAAAAGGGAAAAAATAAACAAAATTCCAGAAAAAATAAACAAAATTCCAGAAAAAGGAAAAAATTCCCCAAAATACCAGGAAAAGGGAAAAAATAAACAAAAATTCCAGAAAAAGGGGAAAAATCCCCAAAATTCCAGAAAAAGGGAAAAAAAAACACAAAAATTCCAGAAAAAGGAAAAAATTCTCCAAAATTCCAGGAAAAGGGAAAAAATAAACAAAATTCCAGAAAAATAAACAAAATTCCAGAAGAAGGGAAAAAATTCCCCAAAATTCCAGGAAAAGGGAAAAAAATAAACAAAAATTCCAGAAAAAGGAAAAAATTCCCAAAAATTCCAGGAAAAGGGAAAAAATAAACAAAAATTCCAGAAAAAGGGAAAAAATCCCCAAAATTCCAGAAAAAGGGAAAAAAAACACAAAAATTCCAGAAAAAGGAAAAAAATTCCCCAAAATTCCAGGAAAAGGGAAAAAATAAACAAAAATTCCAGAAAAAGGAAAAAATTCCCCAAAATTCCAGGAAAAGGGAAAAAATAAACAAAATTCCAGAAAAAGGAAAAAATTCCCCAAAATTCCAGGAAAAGGGAAAAATAAACAAAAAATTCAGAAAAAGGAAAAAATTCCCCAAAATTCCAGGAAAAGGGAAAAAAATAAACAAAAATTCCAGAAAAAGGGAAAAAATCGCCAAAATTCCATAAAAAGGGAAAAAAACCACAAAAATTCCAGAAAAAGGAAAAAAATTCCCCAAAATTCCAGGAAAAGGGAAAAAAATAAACAAAAATTCCAGAAAAAGGAAAAAATTCCCCAAAATTCCAGGAAAAGGGGAAAAATAAACAAAAAATTCCAGAAAAAAGAAAAAATTCCCAAAAATTCCAGGAAAAGGGAAAAAATAAACAAAATTCCAGAAAAAATCAACAAAATTCCAGAAAAGGGGAAAAAATTCCCCAAAATTCCAGGAAAAGGGAAAAAAATAAACAAAAATTCCAGAAAAAGGAAAAAATTCCCCAAAATTCCAGGAAAAGGGGAAAAAATAAACAAAAATTCCAGAAAAAGGGAAAAAAATCCCCAAAATTAAAAAAAAAGCGAAAAAATAAACAAAAATTCCAGAAAAAGGAAAAAATTCCCCAAAATTCCAGGAAAAGGGGAAAAATAAACAAAAATTCCAGAAAAAGGAAAAAATTCCCAAAAATTCCAGGAAAAGGGAAAAAAAAAATTTTCAGAAAAAAGAAAAAAATCCCCAAAATTCCAGGAGAAGGGAAAAAAAAACCACAAAAATTCCAGAAAAAAGAAAAAATTCCCCCAAATTCCAGGAAAAGGGGAAAAATAAACAAAAAATTCCAGAAACAGGAAAAAATTCCCCAAAATTCCAGGAAAAGGGAAAAAATAAACAAAAATTAAAGAAAAAGGAAAAAATTCCCCAAAATTCCAGGACAAGGGGAAAAATAAACAAAAACTTCCAGAAAAAAGAAAAAATTCCCCAAAATTCCAGGAAAAGGGAAAAAAATAAACAAAAATTAAAGAAAAAAGAAAAAATCCCCAAAATTCCAGGAAAAGGGAAAAAAACCCCCAATAATTTCAGAAAAAGGAAAAAATTCCCCAAAATTCTAGGAAAAGGGGAAAAAATAAACAAAAATTCCAGAAAAAGGAAAAAATTCCCCAAAATTCCAGGAAAAGGGAAAAAAATAAACAAAAATTCCAGAAAAAAGAAAAAATTCTCAAAAATTCCAGAAAAAGGGGAAAAATAAAGAAAAATTCCAGAAAAAGGAAAATATTCCCCAAAATTCCAGGAAAAGAGGAAAAATAAACAAAAATTAAAGAAAAAGGAAAAACTTCCCCAAAATTCCAGGAAAAGGGGAAAAAAAACCACAAAAATTTCACAATAAGGAAAAATTCCCCAAAATTCCAGGAAAAGGGAAAAAAACCACAAAAATTCCTGAAAAAAGAAAAAATTCCCCAAAATTCCAGGAAAAGGGAAAAAAAAACACAAAAATTCCTGAAAAAAGAAAAAATTCCCCAAAATTCCAGGAAAAGGGGAAAAATAAACAAAAAATTCCAGAAAAAGGAAAAAATTCCCCAAAATTCCAGGAAAAGGGGAAAAATAAACAAAAAATTCCAGAAAAAGGAAAAAATTCCCCAAAATTCCAGGAAAAGGGGAAAAATATACAAAAATTAAAGAAAAAGGAAAAAATTCCCCAAAATTCCAGGAAAAGAGGAAAAATAAAAATTAAAGAAAAAGGAAAAAAATCCCCAAAATTCCAGGAAAAGGGAAAAAATAAAAAATTCCAGAAAAAGGAAAAAATTCCCCCAAATTCCAGGAAAAGGGGAAAAATATACAAAAATTAAAGAAAAAGGAAAAAATTCCCCAAAATTCCAGGAAAAGAGGAAAAATATACAAAAATTAAAGAAAAAAAGAAAAAATTCCCCAAAATTCCAGGAAAAGAGGAAAAATAAAAATTAAAGAAAAGGGGGAAAAAAATCCCAAAGTTCAATAAAAAGGAAAAAAATCCCCAAATTTCCAAGAAAACAGAAAAAAAAAAAAAACAAGAAAAGGGAAAAAATCCCAAAAATTCAGTAAAAAGAAAGAAGTTCTCCAAATTCCAAGAAAACACAAAAACTCCAAAAATTGAAGAAAAGGTGGGGAAAAAAATCCCCAAAATTCAATAAACAGAAAAAATTTCCCCAAATTCCAAGAAAACAGAAAAAAAAAAAAATTCAAGAAAAGGGGAAAAAATTCCCAACATTCCAAGAAAACAAAAAAAAATCCCCAACATTCAGTAAAAAGAAAGAAATTCTCCAAATTCCAAGAAAACAGAAAAACCTCCAAAAATTCAAGAAAAGGTGGGGAAAAAGCCCCAAATTCCAAGAAACCAGAAAAAAATCCAAAAAACACAAGAGAAGGGGACAAACCCCAAAATTCAAGAAAAGGGGGAAAAAATCCCAAAATTCAATAAAAAGAAAAAAAATCCCCAAAATTCCAAGAAAGGGAAAAAACTCCAAAAATACAAGAAAAGGGGGAAAAATCCCCAAAATTCAATAAACAGGAAAAAAAATCAAGAAAAAGAAAAAAATCCCCAAATTTCAAGAAAACAGAAAAAAAAAGCGAAACTTCCAAGAAAACAGAAAAAAGTCCAAAAATTCAAGGGGGAAAAAAAATCCCCAAAATTCAATAAAAAAGAAAAAATTTCCCCAAAATTCCAAGAAAACAGAAAAAAAAATCAAGAAAAGGGAAAAAAATCCCGAAAATTCCATAAAAAGGGAAAAAAATCCCAAAAATTCATTAAAAAGAAAAAAATTTTCCTAAATCCCAAGAAAACAGAAAAAAAAAAAATTCAAGAAAAAGGGGGGAAAAAGCCCCCAAATTCCCAGAAAACAGAAAAAAATCCTAAAAGCTCAAGGGGACAAACCCCCAAAATTCAAGAAAAGGGGGAAAAAAAAATCCCAAAAATTCAATAAACAGAGAAAAAATCCCCAAAATTCCAAGGAAACAGAAAAAAAAAAAACCAAGAATAGGGGGAAAAAAATTCCCAAAATTCAATAAAAAGAAAAAAAATCCCCAGATTTCCAAGGGGGAAAAACCCCTCAAAAATTCAATTAAAAAAAAAAACAAATTCCAAGAAAACAGAAAAAACTCCAAAAATTCAAGGAAAGGGGGAAAAATCCCAAAAATTCAATAAACAGAAAAAAATCAATTTAAAAAAATCCCCAAATTCCTAGAAAACAGAAAAAAAAAAAAATTCCAAGAAAACAGAAAAAACTCCAAAAATTCAAGGGGGAAAGAATCCCAAAAAATTCAATAAAAAGAAAAAATTTCCCCAAAATTCCAAGGAAACAGAAAAAAATAAACAAAATTCAAGAAAAGGGGAAAAAAATCCCAGAATTCAATAAAAAGAAAAAAATTCCCCAAAACTCCAAGAAAAGGGAAAAAAAACTCAAAAATTCAATAAAAAGAAAAAAATTCCCAAATTCCAAGGGGGAAAAAATCCCAAAAATTCAATAAACAGAAAAGAAAATTCAATAAAAAGAAAACAATTCCACAAATTCCAAGAAAACAAAAAAAAACAAATTTCAAGAAAACAAAAAAAAAACAAAAATTCAAGAAAAGGGAAAAAAATCCCCAAAATGCAATAAAAATAAAAAATTCTGCAAATTCCTAGAAAACAGAAAAAACTCCAAAAATTCAAGTGGAAAAAATCTCAACAATTCAATAGAAAGAAAAAAAATCCCCAGAATTCCAAGAAAACAGAAAAAAAAAAAATCAAGAAAAGAGAAAAAATCCCCAAAATTCCAAGAAAAGGGAAAAAATCCCAAAAATTCAGTAAAAAGAAATTCCCCCAAATCCCAAGAAAACAGAAAAAAAAAACCAAAAATTCAAGAAAAGGGACCAAATATCCCCAAAATTCAATACCCCCCCCCAAGAATCCAAGAAAAGGGGGGAAAATCCCCAAATCCCTGGGACGCCCCCGGATCCACCCGAGCAGGATGGGACCCCCCCCCCCCCCCCCATCCCAAATCCCATTGGAGGGGTCCCCAAATCCTCACCTCATCGAAGCCCATCTTATCCGGGACCTTCGGGGGGACCCACACGTGGGGGGACGGCTCCGCGGGGGGGTTCTTCACTAGGGGAGGGTGAAGGATGCTCCGTAAGGAACAGATCCATAGGGACCGATCCATAGGGAACGGATCCATAGGGAATGGATCCATAGGGAACAGATCCATAGGAACAGATCCATAGGGAACTGATCCATAGGGAACTGATCCATAGGAACAGCTCCATAGGGAACAGATCCATAGGGAACTGATCCATAGGGACCGATCCATAGGGAACGGATCCATAGGAACAGATCCATAGGAACAGATCCATAGGAATGGATCTATAGGGAACAGATCCATAGGAACAGATCCATAGGGAACAGATCCATAGGGAACTGATCCATAGGGAACTGATCCATAGGAACAGCTCCATAGGGAACAGATCCATAGGGAACAGATCCATAGGGAACTGATCCATAGGGACCGATCCATAGGGAACAGATCCATAGGAACAGATCCATAAGGAACTGATCCATAGGGAACAGATCCATAGGAACAGATCCATAGGAACAGCTCCATAGGGAACTGATCCATAGGAACAGCTCCATAGGAACAGATCCATAGGGGACAGATCCATAGGGAACTGATCCATAGGGACCGATCCATAGGGAACGGATCCATAGGAACAGATCCATAGGAACAGATCCATAGGGAATGGATCCATAGGGAACAGATCCATAGGAACAGATCCATAGGGAACAGATCCATAGGGAACTGATCCATAGGGAACTGATCCATAGGAACAGCTCCATAGGGAACAGATCCATAGGGAACAGATCCATAGGGAACTGATCCATAGGGACCGATCCATAGGGAACAGATCCATAGGAACAGATCCATAAGGAACTGATCCATAGGGAACAGATCCATAGGAACAGATCCATAGGAACAGCTCCATAGGGAACTGATCCATAGGGAACTGATCCATAGGAACTGATCCATAGGAACGGCTCCATAGGGACCGGCTCCATAGGGAATGGGGGGGCTCACCCATGATCTCGAGCAGGACGTGCAGGAAGCTCTCGGCCTCATCCTGCAGGGAGCTGTGCGCGCGCAGCGGCACCGGCAGGAAGCCGTAAACGTCCCGGTTGCACACGAACATCTGCACCTCTGCGGGAACAGAGGGGATCGGGATCGGGATTGGGATCGGGATTGGGATCGGGATCGGGATCAGCCGTAAACGTCCCGGTTGCACACGAACATCTGCACCTCTGCGGGAACAGAGGGGGATCGGGAGCGGGAGCGGGAGCGGGATTGGGATCGGGATCGGGATTGGGATTGGGATCAGGATCGGGATCAGCCGCAAACGTCCCGGTTGCACACGAACATCTGCACCTCTGCGGGAACAGAGGGGGATCGGGATCGGGATCGGGATTGGGAGCGGGATCGGGATTGGGATCGGGATTGGGAGCGGGATTGGGAGCGGATCGGGATTGGGATCGGGATTGGGAGCGGGATTGGGAGCGGGATCGGGATTGGGATCAGGATCGGGATCAGCCGTAAACGTCCCGGTTGCACACGAACATCTGCTCCTCTGCGGGAACAGAGGGGGATCGGGATCGGGATTGGGATCGGGATTGGGATCGGGATCGGGAGCGGGATCAGGATTGGGAGCGGGATCGGGATTGGGATCAGGATCGGGATCAGCCGTAAACGTCCCGGTTGCACACGAACATCTGCACCTCTGCGGGAACAGAGGGGGATCGGGAGCGGGAGCGGGATCGGGATCGGGATTGGGATCGGGATCGGGATCGGGATCAGGATCAGGATCGGGATCAGGATCAGGATCGGGATCAGCCGTAAACGTCCCGGTTGCACACGAACATCTGCACCTCTGCGGGAACAGAGGGGGATCGGGAGCGGGAGTGGGATCGGGATCGGGATCAGGATCAGGATCGGGAGCGGGATCGGGATCGGGATTGGGATCAGGAGCAGGATCAGGATCGGGATCAGGATCAGGATCGGGATCAGCCGTAAACGTCCCGGTTGCACACGAACATCTGCACCTCTGCGGGAAGGGAGCGGGATTGGGATCGGGATTGGGATCGGGATCGGGATCAGGATCGGGATCAGCCGTAAACATTCCGGTTGCACACGAACATCTGCACCTCTGCAGGAACAGAGGGGGATCGGGATCGGGATTGGGATCGGGATCGGGAGCAGGATCAGGATCGGGATCAGGATCAGGATCGGGATCAGCCGTAAACGTTCCGGTTGCACACGAACATCTGCACCTCTGCGGGAACAGAGGGGGATCGGGAGCGGGAGCGGGATCGGGATCGGGATCAGGATCGGGATCAGGATCGGGATCAGAATTGAGCTCAGGATAGGGATCGGGATCAGAATTGGGATCAGGATCAGGATCGGGATCAGGACTGGGATAGGGATTGGGATCAGGATCAGGATCTGGATCAGGATCGGGATAGGGATTGGGATCGGGACTGGGATCTGGACCAGGACTGGGATCAGGATAGGGACCAGGATCGGGATTGGGACTGGCAGAGGTATTGGGATTGGGATCATGATCGGGACTGGGATCAGGATCAGGATCCCCCCCCCGCCCCGGACATTGAAACCCAAAGCACTTGGCAATGGAAGCAGCGTGGGGAGCAGCCCCCTTCCAGCCGGGATCCGGAGCTGAGGCAATGCCATGATCCCGTGATTCCCTGATCCTGTGATTCCCTGATCCCGTTATTCCCTGATCCCACCATTCCCTGATTCAATGACCCCGTGATTCCCTGATCCTGTGATTCCCTGATCCCGTTTTTCCCTGATCCCGCCATTCCCTGATCCCACCATTCCCTGATTCAATGACCCCGTGATTCCCTGGATCCAGGTTCCCTGATCCCGCGATTCCCTGATCCTGTGATCCTATGATCCCATCATTCCCTGTTCCCGCGATTCCCTGATCCCAAGACTTCATGATCCCGATCCCGATTCCCTGATCCCGTGATCCCTGATCCCCTCATTCCGTGATCCCATGATTCCCTGATCTCGTCATTCCTGATCCTGATTCCCTGATCCTGTGATCCCATGATCCCATCATTCCCTGATCCTGTCATTCCCCAATCCCCTGACCTCATGATCCCCTGATCCCATGATCCCTGATCCCGTGATCCCATGATCCCATGATTCCCTGATCTCCTCATTCCCGATCCTGATTCCCTGATCCCAATCCTGCTCCTGCCATTCCCTGCTCCCATCATTCCCTGCTCCATAACCTCGTGATCCCCTGCTCCCAATTCCCTGATCCCGTCATTCCCTGCTCCCAATCCCTGCTCCCGCAATTCCCTGATCCCAAGGCCGCATGATCCCCTGATCCCGTCATTCCCAACCCCAATCTCATCATTCCCTGATCCCGATCCCTGATCCCATCATTCCCTGATCCCATCATTCCCCAATCCCATCATTCCCAACCCCGATCCCATCATTCCCCGATCCCATCATTCCCGATCCCCTGATCCTGATCCCATCATTCCCAACCCTGATCCCACCATTCCCTGATCCCATCATTTCCTGATCCCATCATTCCCAACCCCGATCCCATCATTCCCTGATCCCATCATTCCCTGGTCCCATCATTCCCAACCCCGATCCCATCATTCCCGGATCCCATCATTCACAATCCCAATCCCCTGATCCCGATCCCATCATTCCCTGATCCCATTCCCTGCTCCCATCATTACCATTCCCAACCCCAATCCCTTCATCCCCCGATCCCGTCATTCCCTGATCCCAATCCCTGATCCTGCTCCCATCATTCCCAATCCCAACCCCGATCCCGTCATTCCCTGCTCCCAATCCCATTCCCTGCTCCCATCATTCCCAATCCCGACGCCGATGCCGTCATTCCCTGCTCCCAATCCCATTCCCTGCTCCCGTCATTCCCAATCCCAACCCCGATCTCGTCATTCCCTGATCCCAATCCCATTCCCTGCTCCCGTCATTCCCAATCCCAACCCCGATCCCGTCATTTCCTGATCCCAATCCCATTCCCTGCTCCCATCATTCCCAATCCCAACCCCGATCCCGTCATTCCCTGCTCCCAATCCCATTCCCTGCTCCCGTCATTCCCAATCCCAACCCCGATCCCGTCATTCCCTGCTCCCAATCCCATTCCCTGCTCCCATCATTCCCAATCCCAACCCCGATCCCGTCATTCCCTGCTCCCAATCCCATTCCCTGCTCCCATCATTCCCAATCCCAACCCCGATCCCGTCATTCCCTGCTCCCATTCCCTGCTCCCGTCATTCCCAATCCCGACGCCGATGCCGTCATTCCCTGCTCCCAATCCCATTCCCTGCTCCCATCATTCCCAATCCCAACCCCGATCCCGTCATTCCCTGCTCCCAATCCCATTCCCTGCTCCCGTCATTCCCAATCCGGACGCCGATGCCGCGGTGCCGCGGGCTCTCACGGGCGCGGCGGCAGGCGTGGGCGAAGGCGATGATGTCGTCCAGGGCGCCGGCGTAGTCGGGCGGGGGGGGGTGGAAGCGGAGCGCGGCGGTGCCGGCGCGGCGCAGGTCCAGCAGGAAGGTCGAGTGCACCATGGGCACCGCGAAGCAGCCGCGGCGCTCCCGGCGCCGCACCGGCAGGTACAGGGCTGTGCGGCGGTAGTAACCCTGCGGGGGGGGGAACCGCATGAGGGACCCGAAGGATGTGGGACCCAGATGTGGGACCCAGATGTGAGACCCAAAGGATGTGGGACCCAGATGTGGGACCCAGATGTGGGACCCAGATGTGGGACCCAGATGTGGGACCCAGATGTGGGACCCAGATGTGAGACCCAAAGGATGTGGGACCCAGATGTGGGACCCAAAGGATGTGGCACCCAGATGTGGGACCCAGATATGGGACCCAAAGGATGTGGGACCCAAAGGATGTGGGACCCAGATGTGGTACCCAAAGGATGTGGGACCCAGATGTGGGACCCGGATGTGGGACCCAAAGGATGTGGCACACAGATGTGGGACCCAAAGGATGTGGGACCCAAAGGATGTGGGACCCAGATGTGGTACCCAAAGGATGTGGGACCCAGATGTGGGACCCAAGGGATGTGGCACCCAGATGTGGGACCCAAATGTGGGACCCAGATGTGAGACCCAAAGGATGTGGGACCCAAGTGTGGGACCCAAAGGATGTGGGACCCCAATGTGGGACCCAAATGTGGGACCCAAAGGATGTGGTACCCAAATGTGGTACTCAAAGGATGCAGCTTCCAGCTGTGGCACCCAAGGGATGCAGCTCCCAGCTGTGGTACCCAAGGGATGCAGCTCCCAGCTGTGGTACCCAAGGGATGCCCCCCAGCTGTGGTACCCAAGGGATGCCCCCCCAGCTGTGGTACCCAAGGGATGCCCCCCAGCTGTGGTACCCAAGGGATGTCCCCCAGCTGTGGTACCCAAGGGATGTCCCCCAGCTGAGGTACCCAAGGGATGCAGCTCCCAGCTTGGTACCCAAGGGATGCAGCTCCCAGCTGTGGTACCCAAGGGATGTCCCCCAGCTGTGGTACCCAAGGGATGCAGCTCCCAGCTGTGGTACCCAAGGGATGCAGCTCCCAGCTGTGGTACCCAAGGGATGCCCCCCAGCTGTGGTACCCAAGGGATGCAGCTCCCAGCTGTGGTACCCAAGGGATGCCCCCAGCTGTGGTACCCGAGGGATGCTCCCCCAGCTGTGGTACCCAAGGGATGCCCCCCAGCTGTGGTACCCAAGGGATGCTGCCCCAGCTGTGGTACCCAAGGGATGCAGCTCCCAGCTGTGGTACCCAAGGGATGCTGCCCCAGCTGTGGTACCCAAGGGATGCTGCCCCAGCTGTGGTACCCAAGGGATGCAGCTCCCAGCTGTGGTACCCAAGGGATGCAGCTCCCAGCTGTGGTACCCAAGGGATGGCCCCCAGCTTGGTACCCAAGGGATGCAGCTCCCAGCTGTGGTACCCAAGGGATGCCCCCCAGCTGTGGTACCCAAGGGATGCCCCCCAGCTGTGGTACCCAAGGGATGCAGCTCCCAGCTGTGGTACCCAAGGGATGCCCCCAGCTGTGGTACCCAAGGGATGCAGCTCCCAGCTGTGGTACCCAAGGGATGCAGCTCCCAGCTGTGGTACCCAAGGGATGCCCCCCAGCTGTGATACCCAAGGGATGCCCCCCAGCTGTGGTACCCAAGGGATGCCGCTCCCAGCTGTGGTACCCAAGGGATGCAGCTCCCAGCTGTGATACCCAAGGGATGCAGCCCCAGCTGTGGTACCCAAGGGATGCCCCCAGCTGTGGTACCCAAGGGATGCAGCTCCCAGCTGTGGTACCCAAGGGATGCCCCCAGCTGTGGTACCCAAGGGATGCAGCTCCCAGCTGTGGTACCCAAGGGATGTCCCCCAGCTGTGGTACCCAAGGGATGCAGCTCCCAGCTGTGGTACCCAAGGGATGCCCCCAGCTGTGGTACCCAAGGGATGCAGCTCCCAGCTGTGGTACCCAAGGGATGCAGCTCCCAGCTGTGGTACCCAAGGGATGCCCCCCAGCTGTGATACCCAAGGGATGCCCCCCAGCTGTGGTACCCAAGGGATGCCGCTCCCAGCTGTGGTACCCAAGGGATGCAGCTCCCAGCTGTGATACCCAAGGGATGCAGCCCCAGCTGTGGTACCCAAGGGATGCCCCCAGCTGTGGTACCCAAGGGATGCAGCTCCCAGCTGTGGTACCCAAGGGATGCCCCCAGCTGTGGTACCCAAGGGATGCAGCTCCCAGCTGTGGTACCCAAGGGATGTCCCCCAGCTGTGGTACCCAAGGGATGCAGCTCCCAGCTGTGGTACCCAAGGGATGCCCCCAGCTGTGGTACCCAAGGGATGCAGCTCCCAGCTGTGGTACCCAAGGGATGCCCCCAGCTGTGGTACCCAAGGGATGCAGCTCCCAGCTGTGGTACCCAAGGGATGCCCCCCAGCTCTACCCCACCTCACCTGCGGGGTCATCCCACACCAGAAGTTGGAATAAGCCGCCCGCGAGTCCAGCATCGGCGCCACCAGCGTCTTGTTCTCGGCCATCAGCAGCCCCAGGGTGTCGGGGTTGGTGAGGACGTTGTCAGCGTCCAGGAACTGGCCCCCAGAGCACCCAATGGGAGCCGTGAGCACCCATGGGTGCTCTGTGACCCCCCCAGTTATTGAGCCGGACCCCCCCTCACCAGCAGGTAATCGGACCAGGCAGCTCGGGCAGCCTCCAGCGCCGCCTGCCGCAGCCGCATGACGTGCTCATAGCGCAGCGGGGACCAGTGCTTGGGGCCCTCCTCATCGGGGTAGGAGCTATGGGGTGGGGGACACAAGGGGAAGGGGGGCAGAGGAGGGTCCCCCATCAGCACCCACAGGGAGCACCTGAACCAAGGGGGGGCATGAGGATCTCCCGCCCCCCCCACCCAAAACTTGGGCACCCATCGGGATCCTGACCCCAAACTCGGGCACCCCCCAGCCCTTAGGGACCCCAAATCTGGGACCCTCAACCCATGGGGACCCCAAATCTGGGCACCCCCCAGTCCATAGGGACCCTCTTGACCCCCCCTAGGTGACCCCCTTCACCCCCCCATAGGAACCCCCTTCACCCCCATAGGAACCCCCCTGACCCGCCCACAGGGACCCCCTTGACCCCCCATAGGGACCCCCTTGACCCCCCCATAGGAACCCCCTTGACCCCCCATAGGGACCCCCTTGACCCCCCCTAGGAACCCCCCCCATAGAAACCCCCTTGACCCCCCATAGGAACCCCCGTGACCCCCCCATGGGGACCCCCTTGACCCCCCCATAGGAACCCCCTTCACCCCCCCATGGGGACCCCCCTGACCCCCCATAGGGACCCCCTTGACCCCCCCACGGGGACCCCCTTGACCCCCCCCCGCTCACGTGGGCTCTTCCTGGGGCCTCCACTCCACGCGGTGGTAGAGGCCGCGCATGCGCAGCAGCCACTCCCGCAGCAGCGCCGTGGTGTTGTCCACGCTGTGGTCCGCGGCCACCCTGCACGGCGCATGCTCCAACCCGGCCCCGGTGCTCCCCCGGGTCCTGGTGCCCACCCGCCGCGCCCCGCACGGCCCCGTCCCTCCCGGAACCCGGTGTCCCCGTGTCCCCTTATCCCGGTGCACCCCCCCCATGTCCCCGTCCCTCCCATCCCCCCGTGTCCCCATGTCCCGTTCCCCCCATGTCCCCATGTCCCGTTCCCCCGTGTCCCGTTCCCCCGTGTCCCGTTCCCCCATGTCCCCATCTCTCCCATCCCCTACGTCCCCATGTCCCGTTCCCCCGTGTCCCGTTCCCCCCATGTCCCCATCTCTCCCATCCCCTACGTCCCCATGTCCCGTTCCCCCGTGTCCCGTTCCCCCATGTCCCCATCTCTCCCATCCCCTATGTCCCCATATCCCGTTCCCCCGTATCCGTTATCCCGGTGCACCCCCCCCCTATGTCCCCGTCCCTCCCATCCCCCCATGTCCCCATGTCCCGTTCCCTCGTGTCCAGTTCCCCCGTGTCCCGTTCCCCCCATGTTCCCATCTCTCCCATCCCCTATGTCCCCATGTCCCGTTCCCCTGTGTCCCGTTATCCCGGTGCACCCCCCCCATGTCCCCGTTCCTCCTATCCCCCCATGTTCCCATGTCCCGTTCCCCCATGGCCCCGTCCCTCCCATCCCCTACGTCCCCATATCCCGTTCCCCCGTGTCCCGTTATCCCGGTGCACCCCCCCCATGTCCCCATCTCTCCCATCCCCGGGTGCCCCCACGTCCCGTTCCCCCCATGGCCCCGTCCCTCCCATCCCGTAGTGTCCCCACATCCCATTCCCCCTGTGTCCCGTTATCCCGGTGCACCCCCCCACGTCCCCATCTCTCCCATCCCCCAGTGTCCCCACGTCCCATTCCCCCCATGTCCCCATGTCCCGTTCCCCCGTGTCCCGTTCCCCCCATGTCTCCATCTCTCCCATCCCCTATGTCCCCATGTCCCGTTCCCCCGTGTCCCGTTCCCCCCATGTCCCCATCTCTCCCATCCCCTATGTCCCCATGTCCCGTTCCCCCGTGTCCCGTTCCCCCCATGTCCCCATCTCTCCCATCCCCTATGTCCCCATGTCCTGTTCCCCCGTGTCCCGTTCCCCCCATGTCCCCATGTCCCGTTCCCCCGTGTCCCGTTCCCCCCATGTCCCCATCTCTCCCATCCCCTATGTCCCCATGCCCCGTTCCCCCGTGTCCCGTTCCCCGGTGCACCCCCCCATGTCCCCATCTCCCCCATCCCCGGGTGTCCCCACGTCCCATTCCCCCCATGGCCCCGTCCCTCCGTGTCCCGTTCCCCCCATGTCATGTCCCCATCTCTCCCATCCCCTATGTCCCCATGTCCCGTTCCCCCGTGTCCCGTTATCCCGGTGCACCCCCCCACGTCCCCGCTCCTCCTATCCCCGGATGTCCCCACGTTCCGTTCCCCCCACGGCCCCGTCCCTCCGTGTCCCATTCCCCCATGTCCCCATGTCCCGTTCCCCCGTGTCCCGTTATCCCGGTGCACCCCCCTGTATGTCCCCGTCCCTCCCATCTCCTGGTGTCCCCACATCCCATTCCCCCGAGTCCCGATGTCCCGGTATCTCCTGTGTCCCGTTCCCCCGTGTCCCGCTATCCCGGTGCAACCCCCCCCATGTCCCGTCCCTCCCATCCCCCGGTGTCCCCGTGTCCCGTTCCCCCGTGTCCCTACGGTGTGCCGGTGCCTCCACACGGCCCCGTCCCTCCCGTTACCCGGCGTCCCGTGTCCCGTTCCCCCCCGTGTCCCGATGCCCCGGTACCTCCCTCCCCGGTGTCCCGTTCCCCCCCATGTCCCCAATCTCTCCCATCCCCGGTGTCCCCATGTCCCCATATCCCATTCCCCCACATCCCGTTCCCCTATGTCTTGCTATCCCGGTACCTCCGATCCCCCTGTGTCCCCATGTCCCGTTCCCCCATATCGCCCTATCCCGGTACCTCCGTTCCCGCATGTCCCGTTATCCCGGTGCATCCCTCCATATCCCATCCCCCCGTCCCCCCATTCCCCCCTATCCCGATCCCCCTATCCTGTTCTCCCCTATCCCGCTCCCCCCATCCCGTCCCCCCCATCCCGCTCCCCCCCCATTCCGTCCCCCTATCCCGTTCCCCCCCCATCCCGTTCCCCCCATCCCGTTCCCCCCATCCCGCTCCCTCCATCCCGCTCCCTCCATCCCGCTCCCCCCATCCCGATCCCCCCATCCCGCTCCCCCCATCCCGCTCCCCCCATCCCGCTCCCCCCATCCCGCTCCCTCCATCCCGCTCCCCCCATCCCGTTCCCCCCCATCCCGCTCCCCCCATCCTCTCCCCCCATCCCGATCCCCCCATCCCGCTCCCCCCATCCCGTTCTCCCCCCATCCCGTTCCCCCCATCCCGATCCCCCCCCACCCGTTCCCGTTCCCCCCCGTCCCCGTTCCCCGCCCCTCACCACAGCGCCGTCCGCTCCTTGGGGTGCCGCAGCCGCTCCAGGGCTCCGAGCGTGGTGGGCAGCGCATGGGCCGCGTTCCGGGCCAGCAGCGCCACCGTGACCCGCGGCGGCAGCAGCGGCGGCTCCGGGCTCCAGCGCTCCTCGGGGAAGAACCCGCGGGCCCCGGGACCGGGCCCCGGCCCCCAGCCCAGCGCCAGCACCGCCAGCACCGCCCACGGCCCCGCCGCCATCATGGGCCAAGACTCCGCCCCCTGCCGCGGAGACACGCCCTCTGCAGCAGGCCACGCCCCTCTGCAACAGGCCACGCCCCTCGCCCCCCTCCCTCCCTTGCTCCACCCGCCCCATTCCCATCTCCCCCCATTCCCATGCCCCCCATTCCAGCTCCCCCCCCATTCCCATGCCCCCCAATTCCAGCCCCCACCCGGTCCCAGTTCCCCCCCATTCCAGCTCCCCCCCATCCCCATGCCCCCCATTCCAGCCCCCACCCGGTCCCAGCTCCCCCCCCATTCCAGCTCCGCCCCATCTCCATGCCCCCCATTCCGTCCCCCACCTATTCCCATCTCCCCCATTCCCATCTCCCCCATTCCAGCTCCCCCCCATTCCCATGCCCCCCATCCCAGCTCCCCCCCTTCCCATGCCCCCCCATTCCGTCCCCCACATATTCCCATCTCTCCCATTCCCATCTCCCCCATTTTCCCATCTCCCCCATTCCCATGCCCCCCGTTCCGTTCCCCACATATTCCCATCTCTCCCATTCCCATCTCCCCCATTCCCATGCCCCCCATTCCATCCCCCACATATTCCCATCTCCCCCATTCCCATGCCCCCCATTCCAGCTCCCCCCATTCCCATGCCCCCATTCCAACTCCCACCTATTCCCATCTCCCCCATCCTGCTCCTTCCCCTCCCCATTCCCTCTTTCCCCTCTTCTCCCTCCTGCCCCATTCTCCTCTCCCGTTGCCCTATGGAGCCCCAGGGCTTTGCCCCCCCTCCCCTCCCCATCCAGGCACGCTCCACACCAGCTCCCATCGCTCCAATAGGATCCAGTTGGATCCATTCCCGGCTCTGCTGTCCGGGGGGGGGGGGGGTGTCACAGAGGGGCAGCAGGGATTTTACCTTCAAAACGTCGCGTTCCCAAGGACTTTTACTGTCAACCCCCCACTCCCGAGTCTCTTCCCTCCCACATTCCAGTGCTTTTCCCTCCCCAGCGCCACTTTCAGGCATTTCCCCTCCAAATTCCAACTCTTTCACCTCCAAAATCCTCCTTCCAAGGGGAAAAAACCAACCTCAAACTTCCAAAGCCCCGGAGCCCGGATTTAGCTCCGTGTCCCATAGGGCGGCTGCATCCTGCCCCTCAAAGCTCCCTTGTTCCCAGCTGGAACGGGCAGCAGCGAAGCCGCAGCCCTCCCATGACATCAGGCCTGGAATATGAGCTCCAGTGGGAGCTCTGGCTGCTCCCAGCAGTGGGAAAGGGGGGGGGAGAGGAGGAGGGAAAGAAAACGGCCGGGAAGAGCGGCTTTGGGATGCGGGAACAGGCAAAGGGCGCATCTGGGCTGATGTTGGGATGCACAAACGTGGGAATCACCGCTGAGCGCTCCCAACCCCTGGCTCTCGGCCCGTCTGGAAGAGCAGCGGTGAGAACCTGGCAACGGGAAGCGTTTGGAGCGGGGCTGCTCCTCATCCCAGCCGACGCCAGCTCCTGGGCTACGGCAGCGGAGGGGGGAGCGTGGATTCGGCGTCCCAGCACGTCAGGATCGATGGGAACGGGGTAAAGCGCCCCAAAACGCCAGCGGGAACTGGCAGAGGCTGCAGCAGCGCCCTTGGGGACCAGAGGACCTTGTTTTCCCTGGGGAAGAGCATCCTTCATCTCCAAAACGTCCCCTTGGGATGCGCTATGGGGGGGATCAATCCGGCCTTTGGCAGGCAAATACAAAGGGAATATAAAGGGGGATATGAAGGGAATGTAAATGGGAATATAAAGGGAATATAAAGGGGGATATGAAGGGAATGTAAATGGGAATATAAAGGGAATATAAAGGGGGATATGAAGGGAATATAAATGGGAATATAAAGGGAATAGAAATGGGAATAGAAAGAGAATATAAAGGGAATATAAATGGGAATAGAAAGAGAATATAAAGGGAATATAAAGAGGGATATAAAAGGGAATATAAAGGGAATATAAACAGGAATATAAAGGGAATATAATAGGGAACACAAAGAACGGAGAAGGCTTTGGGAAACAGCCTAGAAGGTCCCAAAGAGCCGGGCTAACCCGGAGCAGCCCCTCTGGAAGCAGCCTTAGGGATGCTGGCTGGGATCGGGCTGTGGTTTGGCAGCCTGAAAAGCTCCTTTCTGCAGCCAGGGCCCCGGAGCCAAGCTGCTGGCACACAGGGACGGAGGCAGCGTTCCTCGCTGGACCAAAACCTGCTTGTTTGAGCTCATTTTCCACAGTGGAATTCCCCCCCTCCCTCCATGCAGGCTCCAACGGCCTCACCACCAGCTCCTGCTCCCTGGCATCTGGATGAGCATCCCAAGGAGCCAGGATCCATGTGTGGAGCCGGGGCTTGGCCCCTTCGTCATCCTTTGGGCAATGGTGGGGGAGAGGGGGGGTTAAAGTGAGGGAATTCCTTGTTTGGGGACTGGTTTGGCACTTGTGGGATGCGGAGCTGCTGGAGGAAGTCGGGATGGAGACGAGCTCTTGGGCAGAAGCTCTTCCCTGGGAGGGTGCTGGGACACTGGGATGGGTTGGATGGAGAAGGTCGGGGGGATGCCCCCCTCCCTGTTCAAGGCCGGGGTTTGGATGCAGCTTGGAGCACCCTGCTCCAATGGAAGGGGCTGGAGCTGGAGGAGCTTTAAGATCCCAACCCATTCCATGATTCCATGCTGATAACTGGAAGCTAAAACCTTCCCGTTGTGCACAGAGGAAACGAATCCAGGTAGGAAGGAGCCTCAGACGCAAGCCGGGACTAACAAAGACAAATCCAACATTCCAGCAAGGAAAACCGAGCCGGAGCATCCACGCGTCCTCACAGCCCCCTGCCCTTAGGGAAGAGCACGGCCCCGGGTGGGAAAAGAACCAGGAGTAGCAGCAGAGCTGGAATCCATCCCTTTAATAGGGCGCAACCCAAGCAAAGCCCACGACACCATTCCCAACTGCAGGAATTCCGAGTCGGGAACCTGCACCGTTTGGTCTAGAAAAGGAAGGGGGAAAAAGCAGCATTTTGGGCTGTAACTATCACGTTCCTCACCTGGAATGTCACGGAGCTGACCCCCCCCGCCATCGGCTCTATAGGATGGAATTCTCCACCGGGATTGTCAGCTCCTTGGCTGCTGCCTCGTCCAGGAGCCAGCAGAGCTGCCCCGAGTGAGGCCGGACCCGAGCAGCGGGAAGGGGGTTTTCCTCATCCCCTTCCAAGATGCGCTGTGGGGAAACAGGGGGGAGAGCCTCAGGAACAAGGGAAGCTCCAAGGGCTCGATCCCCACTGGGAAGCTCCGGCTTTCCGATGGATGGGAGGAGGAGGAGGTTGGATGCAAACCTTGACCACAGCAGCTTTGCTTTCGCCCGTGGCCACGAACACCACGGCCTTGGCCGCGTTGAGCACCGGCAGCGTGAACGTGATCCGCTCCGGCGGCGGCTTCGGGGAGTCGGTGATGGCAGCAACTACGGCCTCCTGCTCCTATGGGAAAGGGGGAAAAACATGGGAACGGGGGAAAAAGGAGGGGGAAACCCCGCGGCAAAGGGAGAACCGGGGCTCTGCGTGTCAATGGGGTGGGGGAGAGCAGCTGAAGGGACGGGGGGGCCTCAACCCTTCTGCATCTCCGCTTGAGCCAAGAGCTTTGGCTCCCAAATTCCCCAAATCAGGATAAATTGAGGGATAAATTCAGGGATAACCTCAACCCCAGCAGCTTTTCCCTCCTCTCTGTTACCCCCCCCAAAGAGTGGGAGTTACCGGGGGGCACCATGTCCGTGTCCCCCCCCCCTCGCACCGGTTCCAGCCTCACCTGCAGCAGGGGGTGGCCAGGGAAGAGGGAGCAAGTGTGTCCATCGGGCCCAACCCCCAGCAGCAGCAAATCAAACACGGGCACGGCCTCCCCCGGGAAAGCCTATGGAGAGAGCGGGAGCTAGAGCCGGGAATGGGAGATGATGGAGCTGGGAATGGGGATGGAGGTGGGAAAGGGAGGTGGAGCTGGGAACGGGAGATGATGGAGCCAGGGAACAGGAGATGATGGAGCTGGGAATGGGAGATGGAGCCGGGAACAGGAGATGATGGATCTGGAAATGGGGATGGAGACGGGAACGGGAGATGATGGAGCTGGGAACAGGGATGGAGACGGGAAAGGGGGATGATGGAGCTGGGAATGGGAGATGGAGCCAGGAACAGGAGATGGAGCCAGGAACAGGAGATGATGGATCTGGAAATGGGGATGGAGACAGGAATGGGAGATGGAGCTGGGAACGGGGATGGAGACGGGAAAGGGAGATAGAGCTGGGAATGGGAGATGATGGAGCTGGGAACAGGGATGGAGCCGGGAACGGGAGATGGAGCTGGGAATGGGAGATGATGGAGCCGGGACCCCCCATCCCATCCCCGGGCTCTGGGGCCGGTACCTGCCGGAGCTTCGCGGCGTAGTCAGCGGCGGCAGCGGCGGGGGCCAGGCCGGGGCTGGGCGCCAGCACCCGCGGGCCGGGGCCGGGGCCGGGCAGGCGCGGTAGGAGCCGGGCCTGCGGACACCGGAGGGAGGTGGTGGGGGAGGAGTCAGCGGAGCGCGGGGCCGGCGCGGAGGCCCCTCCGCGGCCCTCACCTGGTAGGCACCGGCGGTGCTGTCCGGGTGCTCCGGAGGCACCAAGCGCTCGTCGCAGAACGCGAGGAGCCAGCGGGCGGGCGCGGCGGGGCGGGCCTCGAGGGCGGGGGGCAGGTGGAGGCTGAGGAGCTCCACGAGGCTCCCCCCGGACAGCCCCAACGTGAAGCGGCCTCCGGTGGCCGCCGCCGCCGCCGCCCGCTCGGCCACGAACCGCGCCAGGCCCGGGCCCGGCTCCGGGAGCACCGAGACGCTACAGGCCGCACCGGGAGCCATGGCGGCGGACAGCGGCGCGCCGGAAGTGACGTCTCCAAAGCGCGTCGAGCTGTTGCTTAGCGACCCGCGTCGCGCTGTTGCTTAGCAACCCGCGGCCTACGCGGCCCCGGCCTCGCGTGGCGGCGGCGGCGGCGGCAGGAAGGAGGCGGAGGCGGGCAGAGCGCACGCGGCTTTACTCCGGTACCCGCTCGTCCTCGGGCTCCACAAGGCCTCGGGTGAACGCCGGGGCAGCCGCTCCCTAAGGGCAGCGGCCGCGGGTGGTTAAAAACGGGCTAAAAAGGGGGTTAAAGGGAAGCTCCCCCCCTCCGTGCCGGGCCCTGCTCCCTGCTCCGGGTACAACACAGAGGCTTCGGGGCTGTGAGGGGCCGGGGAGGGAGCACGGCGCCGGGGTAAGGTGCTGGAGGAGAGGCAGGGGCTCGTCTCGGCGCTGCCCCCTCCATGAGGGCTCACAGGGCAGCCTTCCCGGCCCGGATCCGCTCGTAAAGGTGCTCGTCCAGAGGCACGTATCTGCCCAGCTTCACGTCCAGGAAATACAAGCGGTCCGAGGTTTGGTGCGGGTCGAATCCCTCCGTCTGCAAGCGGGTTTTCTGGATCTTAAAGGTACCTTGGCGAGGAGGGAGAGGAAACGGGGTCAGGTCCACGGCAGGCTCAGCACCAGCGTGAGGAGGACGCGGGGTTCGTGCCGCAACGGGGGGGGGTTAAGGTTGGATCTAAGGAAGCTCTTCCCTGGGAGGCACTGGAATGGGTTGCCCAAAGCAGCGGTGAATGCTCCATCCCGGGCAGTGCTCAAGGCCGGGCTTGCAGCACGCTGCTCCGGTGGAAGGCGTCCCTGGCGTGGGGCTGGAACTGGATGAGCTTTATGGTGCCTTCCACCCACCCCATTGCAGGATTCCATGATCCTTCCTCCACAGGCCTGGCACTCGCTCCTTTCTTGGTTTAAAGACTCAACCCCCATCACTGCATCTCCTAACAGGAGTCTCCCCCACGCTGCGGTGCTGAAACGCTTTGGGATGGGCAGGTCCCTGGGGAAGGGCCGGATCACCGGATACCTGTGGTGTCAACCTGCGGTAGGAGCCGGAGGAAGACGGGCCGGGCGTAGGGAGGCAGCACCTTCTGCAGCTCCTGGTAGAGGGCGTTGGGGCTGACCTTAGCCTGGGGATCTGCAATTGCTGCCATCCCAGCTTTGCCTTCCACGCCTGGGACAGAAGAGCAGGGATTGAGTGGGGAAACCTCTAACAGAGGTAAGCAGGGGTGAAAGGCAGAGGAAGCCCCAGCGAAGGTCCAAAGTGTGCTCAGGCCCGTCCTTGTCCCTCCTCAACCCCCATTCTGGGAGGGGAACGCAATCCTTGGGGAGTCACAGGCCTGCACGTGCATGGAAAGGGCTCTTCACACCAAGAGCTCCTGCAAAGCTCCCATCTCTTCCTTTTGAAGGTACAAATGGAGATTGTGCCCCTGGATTCCTACTGCTTGGAATAAACGTGTCCAGCTGCACCCCTTGACTTGATCATTTCGGGGCGGGCGGGGGGGGGGGGCTGGTTGCAACAGCAGGGACCGATTCCCACCCGTTCTGATGCCAATCTGGTGGCTTTGCCTCTTGTTCCCTTCCCTCCCTCAAGCCCCATCCCAACATCTCACCTGGGACCTGCACCCCATACACGGCCACGTCCGTCTGGTCGAGGATGCGGCTCAAGGTCCCTTCCACCTCGGTGGTGGAGACGTTCTCCCCACGCCACCGGAAGGTGTCCCCGCTGCGGTCCCTGAAGTACATGTAGCCCAGGTCGTCCATCACCAAAACGTCTCCTGGGAGGGGGAGAAGAGGCACCAAAAGCCCACCTCAGGACTCGAGGTCATAGCTCTTGGGGCTGCCCCACCACCCCCTGCTCAGCGCCCTGCTGTTGGCTACCAGCACCACCCCATCTCCGTGCTACAGCAGGGGGGAAAGGACAGGGTTTGACCCTCTTTGGAGACACAGGTTGGGCAGAGAAGACACTGAGAGCAGCGGAAGGGCTTGGGGGTGTTGGGTGATGAGAAGCTGAACCTGAGCCGGGGGCAATGGGGGGGTTGAGCCCAGGAAGCAGCCGTATCCTGGGCTGCATCCAAAGGATGGGAGCAGCAGGGCCAAGGAGGTGATCCTGCCCCTCTGCTCTGCTCCCGTGAGAGCTCACTTGGAGCATTGGGTGCAGTTCTGGGGGCCTCAGCATTAAAAGGACGTGGAGCTGTTGGAACAAGGCCAGAGGAGGCCACGAGGATGAGCAGGGGCTGGAGCAGCTCCTGTATGGAGACAGGCTGAGGAAGTTGGGGCTGCTCAGCCTGGGGAAGAGAAGCTGCGTGGAGAGCTCAGAGCAGCTTCCAGTGTGTGAAGGGGGCCTATAGGGATGCTGGGGAGGGACTCTTCATTAGGGACTGCAGTGACAGGACAAGGGGTAACGGGTTCAAACAAACAGGGGAAGTTTAGATTGGATCTAAGGAGGAAATTCTTTCCTGTGAGGGTGCTGAGGCACTGGAATGGGTTGCCCAGGGAGGTTGTGAATGCTCCATCCCTGGTGGTGCTCAAGGCCAGGCTGGATGAAGCCTTGGGTGCCATGGTTCGGTGTGAGGTGTCCCTGCCCATGGCAGGGGGTTGGAACTGGATGATCTTAAGGTCCTCTCCAACCCACACTGTTCTAGGATATCCCAGACCGAGGCGCGTGGAGAGCCGGGAACGCCAGCAGCGTGTACCGGACAGGTAGGCCTGGTCTCCTTTGCGGAGCACGTTGGAAGCAATCTTCTTGCTGGTGGCACTCTGGTTGACGTAGCCGTCGAAGCGGCGCAGGGGATCCTGCTGGTTGATCTGGCCCACGAGCAAGCCCGGCTCTCCTGCAGGGAACAGGAGCAACAGAGGTGGCACCAAGCTTGCCCGACGAGCTCCGCTTTGGCCACGCCAAGGGATGTTGGGGTGCTGAACTCATCCGGCTTTGGAGGAAAGAGCTGGAAGTGAAAACCTGGGGGTGACACAAGAAAACCCTTAGGCCAGGCACCGTCAACACGTTGGAGGGAAGGGATGGATCCAGAGGGACCTGGCATGCTGGAGAGGTGGGAACCTCATGGAGTTCAACAAGGCCAAGGTCAGGGCAATCCCAAGCACACAGGCTGAGGAGGACTGTCCCATCCCTGGCAGCGTTCAAGGCCAGGTTGGATGGGCCTTGGAGCAAGCTGCTGTTGTGGAAGGTGTCCCTGCCCGTGGCGACTGGATGAGCTTCCCAAACCACCCCATGATCCTGTGATCGTTTCAGCACGAAGCCCCAGGACTGATGGCGTTGGGGTGCTGCTCACCTGGGCGACAGGGAACACAGAGCCCCTGGGAATCCCGGATCAGCTCCATCGTGTCCTCGTTGACCTTCACCAACCAAATGGGATAGACACCGGGCAAAATCCGGCTGTTGAAACCGCAAGCCCCAACCTTCGGATAGACAGGAAAGAACCCTTAAAGAGAACAGCTTGGGCTGTAACAGGAGGATGGAGCCAGGAGGGGGCTGCGCTCTGCTCCCAAGGGATGGGACACGAGGAAACGGGGCCTCGAGCTGCACCGGGGGAGGTTTAGGTGGAGCCTGGCAACAATTCCTTCCCCAGAGGGTGCTCAGGCCTGAGCATCACAAAGCACGCAGCCAAGGCCCTCAGCGGCATGGCCTTGGCAGTGTTGGACAACGGTTGGAGCGGAGGAGCTCAAAGCTCGTTTCCAACCTGCTTCAGGCCGGGGTTCCCTGCTTCCCCCCCTCCTCACCTTCCCATCCAGGTTGGCAATGCTGCAGTTGCACTCGGTGGCCCCGTAGAACTCTCCAATCTGCTTGATGCGGAAGCGCCTGCTGAAGTCCTCCCAGATGCTGGGCCTGAGGCCGTTGCCCACGGCCAGGCGCACGCGGTGCTGGGCCTCCGCCTCGCGGACGGGCTGGTTCAGGAGGTACCTGCAGATCTCCCCGATGTACTGAATGATCTGGAGCAGCAAAGGCAAGAACAGGGCTCAGGCTTCGTTACCTCCCGTACGGAGACAGGCTGAGGAAGTTGGGGCTGTGCAGCCTGGGGAAGAGAAGCTGCGGGGAGACCTCAGAGCAGCTTCCAGTGTGTGAAGGGGGCCATAGGGATGCTGGGGAGGGACTCTTCATTAGGGACTGCAGTGACAGGACAAGGGGTAACGGGTTCAAACTGAAACAGGGGAGTTTAGATTGGATCTAAGGAGGAAATTCTTTCCTGTGAGGGTGCTGAGGCACTGGAATGGGTTGCCCAAGGAAGTCGTGAATGCCCCATCCCTGGTGGTGCTCAAGGCCAGGCTGGATGAAGCCTTGGGTGCCATGGTTTAGAGTGAGGTGTCCCTGCCCATGGCAGGCGGTTGGAGCTGGATGATCCTAAGGTCCTTTCCAACCCACACTGTTCTATGATTCTATGATTCAGGGGAGCCAAGAGCAAGGTGCCCACGAAGCCACTGGTGGGACCTGGACATCTGGGAGCGGCTGCAAGTTCAAGAAGGGGGGGATTTGTTGCCACAAGAGAAATAAGCCAAGGTGAAACGGGTCCTGCCCCCTGGAATCCATCCAGGAGGGATCCCTTCAGCACGGATAAAGGTATCTGGACCCAGGAGAAGCCTCATGCTGCAGGAAACACATGGAAAGAGCTCTGGGAAGATGAGGGGAACGAGCTGGTCAGGCATGGACTCAAGAGCTTGACGCAGCAAAATGCAGGGTGGAGATCCAGTTACAGGCTCTAAATAGTGCTGCGGGTGGGGAGGGCAGGAAAAGCAGCAGGGAGGGGAAAGAGCTGCTTAAATTAGAAGGTAATAGCCACAAATAGATGTTTACTGGAGATGAAGTGCCAAGAGATTCCTCTGCAGATCTTCCCAACGCGGATAAGCCCTGGCAGTGCTTTCCTGCAGCAGGGAGGGATGCAAACGTGGGGTTGAGAAGCTGGCCTTGACAACTTGACAGAGAGGGAGTCTGCCTGGACTTTACTAAAGCCCTTGAGGCCGTTTCCCACAGGGTTCTCCCTGGAGAAACTGGCTGCTCATGGCCTGGATGGGCAAAAGAATGGCTGGATGGCCAAAGCGTGGCGGGGAACGGGGTTAAAGCCCGTTGGTGGCTGGTCACAAGCCTTGTGAGGAGCAGCAAAGGGAACTGGGGGTGTTTAGCCTGGAGAAAAGGAGGCTCAGGGGAGACCTTCTTGCTCTCTGCAACTGCCTGGAAGGTGGGGATTGGCCTCTTCTCCCAAGGAACAAGGGACAGGAGAAGAGGAAATGCCCAAGTTGTGCCCAGGGAGCTTTAGGTGGGATATGAGGAACAATTCCTTCACCCAAAGGCTTGTCAAGCGCTGGAACAGCCTGCCCAGGGCGGTGGTGCAGTCACCAGCCCTGGAGGGGTTTAAGAGGCGTGTGGGCACGGTGGAGTGCTGGAGTTGGCAGTCTGGGGTTCACGATGGGACTCAATGACCTTAAAGCCCTTTTCCAACCAAAACGACTCCAGGATGGAGGAAAAACCTTTCCTAAGTCCCCCACGCCTCAAGCAGCAGCGGCAACGCGAAGGCACCGCGGTGCAGGCACCAACAGGGGGCAGGGAAGTCTCTGGAGAGGAAGGATTAAGCCGTGGCCCCGCCAGCGGGGCCCTCACCGTGCATCTGTACTTGACGCAGTCATCCCAGAAGCGGCTGGCTGAGAACTTCTTCCTGATGACCACGGTGAGGCCGTGGATGAGGCACTGCCCGATTCCCATGATGTTCCCTGGAGCACAAGGAGCCCGTTGCTAGCACCCCCTTTGCTCCCGAGGGGAGGAGGAGGAGGAGGCTGCTGCTTACCTGCAGAGTGGTAGAGGGGGAGGCAGTTGTAGAGGACATCGTCCGGGTGCATTTTGTAGGCGTAGTAACCAAAGGCAGCGATGCGGTAGTACCTGCAAGAGCAGAGCACAGGCTAAGGGACGTGGAGCTGCTGGAGCAGGGCCAGGGGAGGCCGTGGAGGTGCTGGGAGGGCTGGAGCATCCCTGCTCTGGAGCCAGGCTGAGAGAGCTGGGCTGGGGCAGCCTGAAGGGGGAGACCTTAGAGCAGCTCCAGTGCCTGAAGGGGCTGCAGGAAACCTGGAGAGGGGCTTGGGATGAGGGATGGAGGGGCAGGCCAAGGGGAATGGCTTTAACCTGCCAGGGGGGAGATGGAGATGGGATGTTAGGCACAAGCTCTTCCCTGTGAGGGCGGTGGGACACTGGGATGGGTTGAATGGAGAAGGTTTGGATGCCCCATCCCTGTTCAAGGCCAGGTTGGACACAGGGGCTTGGAGCAAGCTGCTCTAATGGCAGCGGGTTGGAGCTGGAGCTTTAAGCTCCCTTCAGCCCAACCCAGTCTGGGATTTGATGGCTCTAAGTGATTGAGATGGGGTTCATGATGTGAAATGAACCTGTGGCCCTCACCTGCTGTGCACCACAATGGCAGCTTTGGGCATTCCTGTTGTTCCTGAAGTGTAGATATAGAAGAGCCGATCTAGAAGAACAGAAGCAGGCATCAGACAGAGTGTTCTCAGCTGCCTGAAGACATCCCCACAGCCCCTGGTTGGTGGTTTGGGCTTTGTTCACAGCAGCTGAGGAACAGCTTTGAGATGGTGGCAGACACAGAGCTGCAGCCTGAGGGACAACCTGCATGTTGTCCATAGCAGCAGCTACAGGAAAGGGTACAAGGAGTCTGCAGAGCTCCAAGGACACAGCCTCTATCCCTCCACACAAGTTGTCCTGGGACTAGATCAGCTCCTCCAGGTCCAACACTCATTCCAAATCAATCAAGAAGGTAAATCTGAACCTGGGGCTGGTGGGAGGGCAGGTATCCAGTGATGGAAATACATAACCTAAAGGAAAAGCCTCTTCAGCAGCATCATTCCTGCTACTGGAAAGGAAGGACCAAAGTGAGGCTCATGCCTCAGTGCTCGTAGTCATCTCTAAGCCTGAAATGTAGCCTGGAGGCCACGCAGCATCTTCTCTCTCCTGAATCCCAACCCCACCAAGGCTCCTCCTTGCCACAAGCCAGGAAGGATGGCCATTGCCCACGAGATGGGAAACATGCTCATACCCCTATTGTGGGGGAAGGCAATGGGGGCTCTTAAATGCTAGAGATGAACTGTCAGCACGCTGCCTGCTTCACCCCACGCGCATCCCTGCTCCCTTGCCACAGAAGGGTTTCCTTTGGGAAGGCACCAATCCCCCTCCTTCAGGTACCATAAAGCTTGGGAGTTGCAGAGAATGAGAAACTTAACCCAGAGCCCCCTGGAACCAGGATTTGGGGTTTGTTTCCTCTTTCTCCCCCCTCCTTCCTTTCTTCTGAGAGTCCAAACTGGGTGGATTTATTCCCTGCACCTTGCTGTCTCCTTGCTCTGCTGTCACCCGGACCAGCTCTCTGACAATGAAAAGCCCTTCATTACCATCTAAGCCTTTGCCTGGAATCTGAGCTGGGGCTGACTTGGACGCAGTGCTCAGGAGAGGATCGAGATGTCTGGTCTCCACAGGAACGAGAGCTGGGTTGTAGTCACCAGAGCAGAACTTGGCCATGTTCTTCCCCAGCATCCCGCTCACTTCAGATATTGCTGCAAGACAAGGGAAGGCACTTTTGCAACACACAGAATGCTCCAGGCAGTGGCAAAAATACCGTGTACAGCATCTGCTTCTGCCCCACATCCCAGATCCACAGATAAAGGGGGCTACAGGAAACCTGCAGAGGGGCTTTGGACACGGGAGGAAGGGACAAGGGGAATGGCCTTAACCTGCCAGAGGGGAGATGGAGATGAGCCCTTCCCTGTGAGGGTGGTGGGACACCGGGATGGGTTGAATGGAGGTGGTTTGGACGAACCATCCCTGTCCAAGGCCAGGTTGGACACAGGGGCTCGGAGCAAGCTGCTCTAGTGCAAGGTGTCCCTGCCCGTGGCAGGGGGCTGGAACTGGGTGGGCTTTAAGGTCCCTTCCACCCACCCCACCCCAGGAGCCTACGAACACCTCTACCTTTTGCAACCAGGACGTGCACCAACGTCCCAAGCTTCCCGTGCCCCCAGCTGCCTTTGGGGCTTTTGCTCCCTCGAGCTCAGCCCAAGCGAAGAGCTCGGCAGTGCAGGCGGTTGAGTGACCCACCTGAGGAGAGCTCCCCTCCAAAGACGATCGCTTTGGCCCCCGAGCTCCTCACGCAGTAAACCAGGGAATCCAGGCGCAGGTTGAAGTTGATGAGAGCCGCCTCGATGCCCACCTTTGCCATCCCCAGCCAGAGGCCAACGAACTCGGGGCGGCTCTCCATGAAGACGGCGATGACGTCCCCCCCGCGGAAGCCCTGCTGGGAGCAGCAGTTAGCCACGGCGTTGGAGTACTCCTCCAGCCTCCTGAAGGTCCACTGCTCCCCGGTGCCTTCGTAAATGAGGGCCACTTTGTCGGGGTGCCTGAGGACGACGTCCTGGAACATCTTGGGGACGGTGCTCTGCGCTCGCTGATGCTTTCGCAGCTGGTACTTGACCCGTAGCAGCACCCAGAGGCCGCTGCAGCAAAGACAGAGCACAACGAGGGCAGCTTCCAGCAGCTGGGAAGGGCAGGGTGCCCGTCACCCCCTTGCCCATGGACAGCCAAAGCGTCACCCTGAAAACAGAACTTCCAGTCACTGCTGCTATAAGGAAGACGTTCGTGTTGGGGTGAAGAAAGAGGGCACCGCAGCTGTTCTGGAGCTATAAACCCCGGGGAATCCACCTTCACCTTGATGCCAGCTCAAACAAGCCCATTAAAGAGGGTAAACGACCTCTCTCAACCATCTATTCTGCCACCCTAAAGGAAAAAGCCTTGGCAACCTTTTACCTCTATGGGAAGCAAACGTGCTTCATGCCAGGCTAATCTGCAGTGGCCCCAAAAGCACGGAAAGGCCAAAGCCATCCTGCCCCTTCGGTAACAAGGGAGCTCAGCTTCCAGAAAGCAAAGGTTTCTCCTTTCCCCTGCAAGCAGGAGCATCCTCCTGGGGCTCCCTCCCTGCCGCAGGCCCGGGATGCAAGGAAGCCAGGCTGTCGGACTGCCACCCTCACAGTTCCTATCTAAGATGTTGCCTATTCACCGAGAGCATAACCTATTACTGTTACCCCTGTTATTCAGCAAGCTGCTCGAAAGTCAGGGCTCCCTTATGGCTGTGACACCCTGCTCAATGCACGCCCAAAGCCGACGCGGTGCCGAGGAGGTGGAGGTTTTCCTTCCACAATGCAGGGAATTTGGGAGTTCACGATCTAGAATCGACGGCCACTTGAAGCCTTCAAGGCAGCAGCCACGAGCCAAACCCCGACGCAGCTCCAGCCGGGTGCTAAGCTGCTGCCTGAGCGTCCCTGCCTTCAGGGGTGCAGGGGCTATAACCCAGCAATGAGAACGACTCCGCTCAGCACCCAAACGAGGGCAGCAGCAGGGCCGGGGCTCCCGTTTCCTTCCCAGCACAGGCAGCATCTTCCCAGCATGCCGTCAGGAGGGTGCTGTGCAGGAAAGGGCCTTGGCGAGCTCCCCAGGGCCCCAAAGGTCATTTAATATCAGCCCTTTGAAAGGGCCGCAGCTCCCCGAGCCCAGGGTCAGGCGCTGGATGCAGGGGTGCTGGATGCAGCCCCACTGCAGGGGGAAGGGCATTCCAGCCCCGGGCTCCTGGCAAGGGCCGAGCCTGCCCGCTGCCAAGCCGGGAACACAGGAGCCTTTTGCAGTGCTCTCAAAGGGCTTTCTTCCGGCCGCTCCGTCCCCAGCCTGCCGGGCAAGGCGGAGGAAGCAGCCCTGCAGGCAACGGGGAAGCTGCCAAGGGCAGGAACCCCTTGGAACCCTTTGGAACTCCTTGGAGACCTTTGGAATCCCTTGGAACCCTTTGGAATCCCTTGGAACCCCTTGGAAACCTTTGGAGACCTTTGGAATCCCTTGGAACCCTTTGGAATCCCTTGGAACCCCTTGGAATCACTTGGAAACATTTGGAATCCCTTGGAACCCTTTGGAATCCCTTGGAGACCTTTGGAATCCCTTGGAACCCCTTGGAATCACTTGGAAACCTTTGGAATCCCTTGGAACCCTTTGGAATCCCTTGGAGACCTTTGGAATCCCTTGGAGACCTTTGGAATCCCTTGGAATCTTTTGGAATCCCTTGGAACCCTTTGGAATCCCTTGGAACCCTTTGGAACCCCTTGGAACCCCTTGGAGACCTTTGGAATCCCTTGGAACCCTTTGGAATCCCTTGGAACCCTTCGGAATCCCCTGGAATCCCTTGGAGTCCTTTGGAACCCTTCAGAATCCCTTGGAACCCTTTGGAATCCCTTGGAACCCTTCAGAATCCCTTGGAATCTTTTGGAATCCCTTGGAGACCTTTGGAATCCCTTGGAATCCCTTTGAACCGTTTGGAACCCTTCGGAACCCCTTGGAGTCCTTTGGAATCCCTTAGAACCCTTTGGAATCCCTTGGAATCCCTTAGAACCCTTCGGAACCCCTTGGAACCCTTCGGAACCCCTTGGAGTCCTTTGGAATCCCTTGGAACCCCTTGGAGTCCTTTGGAATCCCTTGGAACCCTTCGGAACCCCTTGGAGTCCTTTGGAATCCCTTGGAACCCTTCGGAACCCCTTGGAACCCTTCGGAACCCCAAGGGCACATCCCCGCCGAGGCCTCAACCCCCCCCAACCGCACGGGATGAGCCCCCCGCAGAGGGGGCAGCGGCCCCAAGGCCCTTCCACCCCCCCCCGAGGCCCCGGGAGGAGCCCCCCGGGGCGCGGAGGGGCCGCACTCACAAGAGGTCCCGCGGAGCCGTCCTGCAGAGCAGCCGCAGCAGCCGCCAGCCGCCGCCGCACAGGCAGAGCGCGAGCGGGGCCGCCAGGCTCCACGGCCACGGCGCGCCCAGGAACCGCAGCAGCCCCAGGGAGCCCAGCGAGGCCGCGCAGAGCCCGGCCGGGTGCATCCTGCCCGCGGCAGCGCTGCGGGACCGGGACCGGGACCCGGCTCCGGCCCCGGCTCCTCCGCCCGCTCCCGCCTCGACCGCGGCCGCCTGAGGTGAAGCCCCGCCTCCTCCAGGCCGAGGGGCGGGGCAGCGAGGAAACGCGACATCCTATTGGTGGAGAGTGAGGTTGCCGGATTGGGATTGGGAGAGAGGCAGTGACGTAAGGAACGCCCCTTGGGCGTCACCAAGGCCCGCTCCGCCTCCGGAGGGGGGGGACGGGACCGGGGGAACCGGAGGGGATGGGGAGGGGGGGTCCGGAACCGGCCCGGGACCCCATAACCGGGTCCGTCACGGTGCCCCCCCCATCCCACTGCACCGGGACCCCATAACCGGGTCCGTCACGGTGCCCCCCCGATCCCACTGCACCGGGACCCCATAACCGGGTCCGTCACGGTGCCCCCCCGATCCCACTGCACCGGGACCCCATAACCGGGTCCATCACGGTGCCCCCCCCGATCCCACTGCACCGGGACCCCATAACCGGGTCCATCACGGTGCCCCCCCCCCCGATCCCCCTGCACCGGGACCCCATAACCGGGTCCGTCACTTCCCCCCCCGATCCCACTGCACCGGGACCCCATAACCGGGTCCATCACGGTGCCCCCCCCCGATCCCACTGCACCGGGATCCCACAACCGGGTCCGTCACGGTGCCCCCCCCCCGATCCCACTGCACCGGGACCCCATAACCGGGTCCATCACTTCCCCCCCCGGTCCCCCTGCACCGGGACCCCATAACCGGGTCCGTCACGGTGCCCCCCCCGATCCCACTGCACCGGGACCCCATAACCGGGTCCATCACGGTGCCCCCCCCCATCCCCCTGCACCGGGACCCCATAACCGGGTCCGTCACGGTGCCCCCCCGATCCCACTGCACCGGGACCCCATAACCGGGTCCGTCACGGTGCCCCCCCGATCCCACTGCACCGGGACCCCATAACCGGGTCCGTCACGGTGACCCCCCCGATCCCACTGCACCAGAACCCCATAACCGGGTCCATCACGGTGCCTCCCTCATCCCACTGCACCGGAACCCCATAACCGGGTCCATCACGGTCCCATCCCCACTCGATCCCACTGCACCAGAACCCCATAACCGGGTCCATCACTCCCCCCCCCCGATCCCCCTGCACCGGGACCCCACAACCGGGTCCATCACGGTGTCCCCCCCATCCCACTGCACCGGGACCCCATAACCGGATCCCTCACGGTCCCCACCCCAGATCCCACTGCAGCGGGACCCCATAACCGGGTCCATCACTTCCCCCCCCCCCGATCCCACTGCACCGGGACCCCATAACCGGGTCCATCACGGTGCCCCCCCCCATCCCACTGCACCAGAACCCCATAACCGGGTCCATCACGGTGCCCCCCCCCATCCCACTGCACCAGAACCCCATAACCGGGTCCATCACGGTGCCACCCCCCCGATCCCACTGCACCGGGACCCCATAACCGGGTCCATCACTTCCCCCCCCCCCCGATCCCACTGCACCGGGACCCCATAACCGGGTCCGTCACGGTGCCCCCCCCTTCCCACTGCACCGGGACCCCATAACCGGGTCCGTCACGGTGCCCCCCCCATCCCACTGCACCGGGACCCCATAACCGGGTCCGTCACGGTGCCCCCTCCCCCGATCCCACTGCACCGGGACCCCATAACCGAGTCCATCACTTCCCCCCCTGATCCCACTGCACCGGGACCCCATAACCGGATCCCTCACGGTCCCCACCCCAGATCCCACTGCAGCGGGACCCCATAACCGGGTCCATCACTTCTCCCCCCCCCGCAATCCCACTGCACCGGGACCCCATAACCGGATCCCTCACGGTCCCCACCCCTGATCCCACTGCAGCGGGACCCCATAACCAGATCCCTCACAGCCCCGACGGGACCCCCCCATCCCGGGCCCGCTCTGACCTCCCCTTTTAAGCCGCTTTAGCTCCTGATCCGCGGTCATTAATAACCGGGACCGGCAGCGAGCTCCTCCTCATCCCCCCCCTCCATCCCCGAGCGCTCACCATGGCCTCCCTCTTCACCGGCAAGGTCCTGGTGGCCAACCGGGAACGGGAGGAGCTGGACACGGAGCGGGAGCTGCACCGGGCGCTGGAGAACAAGGTCCTGCTGCTCTACTTCGGCTCCGCGCGGTGCCCGCGCTGCCGCCGCTTCGCCCCGCTCCTCAGGGACTTCTTCCTCCGCCTCACCGATGAGTTCCACGTGGAGCGAGCCTCGCAGCTCGGCCTCGTCTACGTGTCCGGGACGAGACGGAGGAGCAGCGCCGCGCCTTCCTGCGGGCCATGCCCGAGCGCTGGCTCGCCCTCCCCTTCGGGGATGCCTTCGGCAGGTACGGCCGAGCCCGTGCCCATCCCGGCCTTTCCCCTTCTGTTCTGTGGGTGGGAAGAAGCGCAAAGCTCTCCGGCTGAGCCTGTTCCTAAAGGAAAACCGTTCCCCCCCCCCCCTTCCCTCTCGCTTTCGCTGGAATTCCCGGTTTACGGCGCTCCAGCGGGGAGGACGCGTGGCGGGGAGGATGGACGGGATGGAAGCGTTTCCTGCAACGCTGTTAGCGGCAAGGACAAGCTGCAGTGAACAGTGGGAATTATCCCTGGCTCCTCCTGAAGGCAAACGGGAGGATGTTAACGTTTAAGTGCCTTGGGGGTGGTTAAGTGCTGCTCCTTTAAATCAGCTCCCTGCAGCCGTCCCATAGATGCCAAGATCTCCTTCCCCTTATCCCAGCCCCACAGAGCTCCCCGTTAGGCTCCAGTTACCTGGGGTGGGCAAACGAGTGGGTGACAGTCAGCAAAGAGGCCTCACACAGCCAGGATGCCCATGGGAATACTATTGGATGGTGAGGATGAGGAGCAGGGAGGATGAGGAGCAGTGAGGATGAGGAGCAGGGAGGATGAGGAACAGGGAGGATGAGGAACAGGGAGGATGAGGAATAGCGAGGATGAGGAACAGGGAGGATGAGGAACAGGGAGGATGAGGAATAGCGAGGATGAGGAACAGGGAGGATGAGGAGCAGGGAGGATGAGGAACAGGGAGGATGAGGAACAGCGAGGATGAGGAACAGGGAGGATGAGGAGCAGCGAGGATGAGGAACAGCGAGGATGAGGAACAGGGAGGATGAGGAGCAGGGAGGATGAGGAACAGAGAGGATGAGGAGCAGGGAGGATGAGGAACAGCGAGGATGAGGAACAGAGAGGATGAGGAGCAGAGAGGATGAGGAAGAGAGAGGATGAGGAAGAGAGAGGATGAGGAACAGCGAGGATGAGGAACAGGGAGGATGAGGAACAGGGAGGATGAGGAGCAGAGAGGATGAGGAAGAGAGAGGATGAGGAACAGTGAGGATGAGGAACAGGGAATGAGGAACAGGGAGGATGAGGAGCAGCGAGGATGAAGAGCAGCGAGGATGAAGAGCAGGGAGGATGAGGAGCAGGGAGGATGAAGAGCAGGGAGGATGAGGAGCAGTGAGGATGAGGAACAGCGAGGATGAGGAGCAGCGAGGATGAAGAGCAGCGAGGATGAGGAACAGCGAGGATGAGGAGCAGTGAGGATGAAGAGCAGGGAGGATGAGGAGCAGCGAGGATGAGGAACAGCGAGGATGAGGAGCAGCGAGGATGAGGAGCAGGGAGGATGAGGAACAGCGAGGATGAGGAGCAGGGAGGATGAGGAGCAGCGAGGATGAGGAACAGCGAGGATGAAGAGCAGAGAGGATGAGGAGCAGGGAGGATGAGGAACAGCGAGGATGAGGAGCAGGGAGGATGAGGAGCAGGGAGGATGAGGAACAGGGAGGATGAGGAGCAGCGAGGATGAAGAGCAGGGAGGATGAGGAACAGGGAGGATGAGGAGCAGCGAGGATGAAGAGCAGGGAGGATGAGGAGCAGGGAGGATGAAGAGCAGGGAGGATGAGGAACAGCGAGGATGAGGAGCAGCGAGGATGAAGGAGCAGGAGGATGAAGAGCAGGGAGGATGAGGAGCAGGAGGATGAGGAACAGCGAGGATGAGGAGCAGCGAGGATGAAGAGCAGGGAGGATGAGGAACAGCGAGGATGAGGAGCAGTGAGGATGAGGACAGCGAGGATGAGGAGCAGTGAGGATGAGGAGCAGTGAGGATGAGGAACAGCGAGGATGAGGAGCAGCGAGGATGAAGAGCAGGGAGGATGAGGAACAGCGAGGATGAGGAGCAGTGAGGATGAGGAGCAGTGAGGATGAGGAACAGCGAGGATGAGGAGCAGCGAGGATGAAGAGCAGGGAGGATGAGGAGCAGTGAGGATGAGGAGCAGTGAGGATGAGGAACAGCGAGGATGAGGAGCAGCGAGGATGAAGAGCAGGGAGGATGAGGAGCAGGGAGGATGAGGAACAGCGAGGATGAGGAGCAGCGAGGAGAAGAGCAGGGAGGATGAGGAGCAGGACTCCAGTCCCCTTCCCCATTTGAGGCTCATTCCCCCTTTGCCTGGCAGGGAGCTGGAGCTGCGCTTCGCCGTAGCCGAGGTGCCAGCCGTGGTGGTGCTGAAGCCGAGCGGGGAGGTGATCGTCGGGAATGCCGTGGAGGAGATCCGGAGCATGGGGCCCGCTTGCTTCCGGAGCTGGCAGGAGGCCGCCGAGCTGGTGGACAGGAATTTTCTCCTGGCAGAGGACTGGGAGAAGCGGAGCAGGAGGAGCATCACGGACCCCATCCGCCGCCTCAAGTACAAGCTGGACAAGAAGGTGGAGGCGAAGAGCAAGGAAAGGAAAGAGGAAGGGGAAGACTTGGAATAGGGGCTCAAAGAAGGGGCCGATGCCCCTACCCAGCATCTCCAGGACAGCAACATCTGCATCACTCCTAGGAGCTGGGGGAGGAAAACCTCACCCCAAGATCTTTGCCATTTATCTACCAAAAAAGCGAGCAGAAAAGTACTGCGAAAGACCAGAATTTGGGGAATGACTCCCTGGGCAGCTCAAATGGGAGTTCACGGAGGCATGGAGTGGGGTGGGTTGGAAGGGACCTTAAAGCTCCTCCAGTTCCACCCCCCTGCACCTTCCATAGAGCAGCTTGCTCCAAGCTGGCCTTGAACACTGCCAGGGATGGGGCATCCAAACCTTCTCCATTCAACCCATCCCAGTGTCCCCAAGGAAGAGCTTCTGCCCAAGAGCTCATCTCCATCTCCCCTCGGGCAGGTTAAAGCCATTCCCCTGGTCCTGTCCCTGCATCCCTCATCCCAAGCCCCTCTCCAGGTTTCCTATATCCCCTTTAGGCACTGGAGCTGCTCTAAAGTCTCCCCTTAAGGAGCCTTCTCCTCTCCAGGCTGGGACCAGCCCAGCTCTCACCCAGCAAGTCCTACAGAGAAGATATCCCCTCATAGAGATGCTCAGGAGGGACTTGGCATCCTTGGGGATGCTCCATGCAGGAATGCTCCATGCAGGGATTGCTCCATGCAGGGATGCTCCATGTGGGGATACTCCATGTAGGGACGCTTCATGCAGGGATGCTCCATGTGGGGATGCTTCATGCAGGGATGCTCCGTGTAGGGATGCTCCACGCAGGGATGCTCCACATAGGGATGCTCCATGCAGGGATGCTCCATGTAGGGATGTTCCATGCAGGGATGCTCCATGTGGGGATGCTCCATGCAGGGATGCTCCACATAGGGATGCTCCATGCAGGGATGCTCCACATAGGGATGCTCCATGCAGGGAAGCTCCATGTAGGGATGCTCCATGCAGGGATGCCTCCATGTAGGGATGCTCCATGCAGGGATGCTCCATGTGGGGATGCTCCATGCAGGGATGCTCCATGTGGGGATGCTCCATGCGGGGATGCTCCATGCGGGGATGCTCCATGCAGGGATGCTCCATGTGGGGATGCTCCATGCAGGGATGCTCCATGCGGGGATGCTCCATGCGGGGATGCTCCATGCAGGGATGCTCCATGTAGGGATGCTCCATGCAGGGATGCTCCATGTGGGGATGCTCCATGCAGGGATGCTCCATGCGGGGATGCTCCATGCAGGGATGCTCCATGCAGGGATGCTCCATGTAGGGATGCTCCATGCAGGGATGCTCCATGTGGGGATGCTCCATGCAGGGATGCTGGGCACAAAGGCACAAAGAAAGCCCCAAAAGTGCTTTCAGGTGACAGAGCTGCTGGAGGAGGGGGGCTGCGGGCTGATGGGCACGAGAGGAACCGTACCTGACGGGGGTTGCAAGGGTGCTGGGGAGGGACCTGCATCAGGGATAGGCCAAGGGGTGATGGGGTCAGGCTGAAATAGGGACGTTCAGGTTGGAGATAGGGAAGTTCTGCCCTGGGAGGGTGCTGGGACACTGGCATGGGTTGAATGGAGAAGTGGTGGATGCCCCATCCCAGCAGCATCCAAGGGCAGAGCCTTGGGTGCCATGGTCTGGCATTGTAGTATTTAGCAGGGACTTTCAGCAGCCCTCCCCGTTTCGGTTTAACCGTATTAAATATTTAACCATATTGAATCATATTTTTCCTGCTTTGAACCCCAAAGTTGCCCTTTTCTTGCTTCTTGTGTGGCCAAGGAAGGCACAGGGAGCAGCTGGGAGCAGGGAACCTGCGAGCACCAGGAAAGTGCCATCATCATCAAGAGCATCAATGCTTTAGCTCCTTCTCTTCACTTCCCAATGAAAGAAGCCAGGAAAAACAGACCCAGGAGCCCCTTTGCTCCTATGGAGTGAACATTCCCATTGCCCTCTGCGAGGAGCAGGAAAACCAGCCCCAACCCTCTCATGGGCAAGGAAAGCCTCCCGATGGATGCGCTGCAGCGGTGCTGAGAAATCCCCTCATAGAGATGCTCAGGAGGGACTTGGCATCCTTGGGGATGCTCCATGCAGGGATGCTCCATGACTCCACGCGCGGGGCTGCGTACTCAGGACCCAGACCAAGGGGTTGGGTGCTCAGAAGCTCTTCCAGCTCCCGGCGCAGCCGAAGGGGCCGAGCTGCTGCGCTCCATCCCCTCCTCCCGAGCTCCTGCCCTGCTGCTCCTCGCCAGCACCAAGGGCAAGGCCGTGGAGCCCAACGAGTGCCGTGGTTGCTGCCCTCTGCCCATGGGTGATGGGTGCCGAGGGCGGGGGCTCCTTCCATGGGGCAGCTTGCTCCAAACCCAGCCAGGGACCGGGTACCCGACCCTTCCCCGTTCAACCCATCCCCGGCCCTCAGCACCCTCACGGTAAAGAGCTCCTTCCTCCCAGCGAAGAGATGGGGAGCGCCCTCCTTCCATCCCCTCTTTTAACCCAGGAGCGCTCTCCCTTCCGTACCGCCGGCACCACGGGGGCTGCTCGGTGCCTGGCCGGCCGCTCGGGGCTGTTTCCGAGGCAGCAGAGAGGGCTCTGAAGGCAGGAACCCCCCCGCAGCACCCAACCCATCCCCTCCGCACCCCGCACATCCGAGTTATGCAAATCGCAGGAGGGAAGGAGCCGGCGCTGCCCGCCGAGCCCTCGCCGCGGCCGCGGAAGCGCGTCGGGCCCCCGAAGGAGCCGGACCCCTTCGCACGCAGCCCTCATGGCCCTTTGGAGCCTCCCTCTTCAGGCCGCTCTGAGCAAGGCTTTGGGGCGGGCTCGGCTATGGGGGAGCCAGAAGCAAGCGGTAGGTGCTGGCCTGAACGCTCTTTGTCGGGGCAGCTTCGGGGGGAAACGAGAGGGAGCCCCGGGGGGGGGGGGATGTGGCTGCTGGAAACCAGCTCCAAGTGCCTCTAGAAGGGTTCCCATGGGCAGGACTGTGCGGTTCTGTGGGGCTAAGATGGGTTTCTGTCATGGGTTCGGCCTGGGTGCTGGCTTATGTTAGAGGGAAGGATGCGGCCCCCCTGTTTGAGAGGCTTGGAGGACCTCGGGCTGCTCCGGGTGCAGGATCAGCTCCAGTCCTTCTGCCAAGGTCCTTGTGCTCAGAGGTGCAAGGCCGAGCTATGGATGGAGTTTGAGTGGGGGTGACCCCCAGTGAAGCATCCTAGAGGTCTCGGTACCACCGAGTAGGAGCCCCTCGTGCCAGAGCCCTTGGTGTCTTGTCCTTTGTCCTGGGTTGAGAAGGCATCAGCCAAACAGAGAGCTGCTGTGGCTCATGATCACCCCCAGATTCTAAAGATGCTTGTACAGAACCTTATATCGAAGTCTGTTTTGCTGCCCTGCAATCTGGGTCTCACCAAGCACTTCGCCAGGAGAGAGGATGCTCCGTTGAGCCGGCGAGCATCCATCTGGATCGGAGCTCCCTTCAGACACAGCCCCGTGCAGGGATAACAGCTGAGGGCCTTTAGAGCAAAGAGGCTGTGCCATGCCACCCCAAATCCCCTGCGGAGCGTGACCGCAGATACCAAATCCAAGTGGGGCGCAAGAGCCACAAGACCCCATCTCTTCCGGAGGTCGAGTTTGCTCTTTTGCAAAGCCAAAAGGGCTGGAATGAAAGATTTCCTTCAGGTTTATGGCTTTTTAGTGCCCTCAGTTCCTCCTCCTGGTGCTCTTCGGAGGCTCCTTTCCTTGCTTTCCATCCGCTGTGATGGATTGTGACGCTTCCATCGCTAGCACTTCCTTCTTGCGCAGGTTGAAGCAATAAGCAGGCGGAAGTTCAATAGAATTGCCCTTTTCTCACCCAAAAAAGCAGGGGTTTGAGGGCCTGGAAGCTGCCACCTCTCACGATGAGGCTGGGTTACTGACATCACCCTCTAAAGCTGGGTCTGTTCGCACCCTACCGCATCCGTGCTCCGTCCCTGCTCTCAGACACCCCGAGCCGCGCTCGGCTTCCGCTCCAGTTGCATCCCCTACGAAGTGGAAACTCCCCCCCTCCCCTTTCCCCTTCGTGCTTCATTAATGCCCTCGTTAATCCCTTCTGCTATTTAGGGCACCCGACCTCGCTCGTGCTTCCTGTCGGCTGGGGGCCGAGCCCCACTGTAAATGCCAGGGCTGCTGAGGCAGGAAGAGGCGATGAGAAACCAGGGTGATGGAGGGGAAGCCTTGCATTGGTTTGCTCCAAAGCTGTTGGGCGATGCTCAGAGGGGCAGGGACGGCGTGCCGGGGGGCCGGAGCATCGCCCCATCGTCGGTCTCACTGAGGGGTACCTGACAGAGCCCCAGGTTGGGGTTGGAAAGGAGCTTAAGATCATCCGGTTGCCCAAGGCTCTGCCTTGAGCACTGCCAGGGGTGGAGCACCCACCACCCCCCTGTGCCAGTTGTCCCAGCACCCTCACAGGGCAGAACTCCCTTAGCTCCAAGCTGAACTTCCCCTCTTCCAGCCTGGACCCGTCACCCCCTGTCCTGCTGCTGCAAGTCCTCTCCAGCATCCTCGTAGCCCCCTTTGGCTATCGGAAAAGTCTCTTTTGGTTAAAAAGGGAGCATTTCACGCAGCCCGGTTGGGTTTACGCAGTGCTGTAGGGCAGGGGGGCTCCACACACGCTGATGAGAGGTGCCTTTGATGCAGGAAGGGGAGCCCTGCCCCACTGGAAACCACCCAGATGTTGCATTGCAACGGGCCAGGCTGAGGGCAGAGAAGGGGAAGACGCTGCTGGGGCCAGGCTCGAGGTACCAGGGTTGGGCAATGGTGCCCCACTGAGCCGGGCTTTAGGGCCTGGCCTCATTTCTCGGGAGCTGAAGGGGAAGTGATGCTTCTGCTGAGCAGCACAAGAGCTTCTCCTGCTGCAAATACCCTCCTTGTCGTCCCCGCGCCAGGGGCAAAAGGCAGGGAAGAGCTTCCCAGGAGAGGATGCAGGTGTGGGGCCGACAGCTAAGGATGCGCTGGCCTTCAAGAGACACGGATGGGGTTTAATCTAGGGAAGAGTCAGCTTCCAGATCAGCTTCCCAGTAAGAGAGCTGGTTTGGAAGTGATGGGGCCATTCGCAGAGCCACAGTGGAACGGCTGAAGGACCGCGGCAGAGTCGCTCCGAGCCCGCGGTCCCGTATCCCGGTGCCGCAGAGGATGCTCTGCCCCCTAACCCTAAAGGGCTTCCCTCGGGGTCTGAAAGGGCGGTTTATGGGCATCAGCAAGGCCAGGAAATCTCGTGTTCAACGTCTTTCTAGCGTTACCTATAGCAGTCTCTGCGGGTCTGCTGGTGCCTTGCTCACGGCCAGCGCCGCTCAGGTTGAGTCAGCTCTTCCCGTCGCTGGTGGCGACCCAGAGACCTTAAAGCTGACACCAAGCAGCAGGAACGGGTGGGATCCACCTTAAATCAGGGCTTGGTTTACCACAGCTGGGGTTTGTTACGGTTTGGGTTTGTTGCCCCTTGCCTTACGAGCCAAGGGCTGCAGAAGAACGGGGTGAGACGTTTGGAAGCTGCCTGTGGGCTGCCTCACATCCTGCCCTGGCTGCGAGGCGTGGGTTTATCCCCAGGCACCAGGTGCTGGGCTCACCGTGCAGCTCTCCCTTAGCATCACTGGGCCACCAGTGTGTGGGACAGGGAGCCCAGGGGTTCCTTGCAGCTCCTTCAGGGTGGCCCCTTTGAAGTAAGGGGTCCAGAAGGCTTTGAAGAGGGAGCCCAGCCTAAATGTGGACAGAACAGAAACCAGTGCCCAGCAAAAGCAAGGAAAGGGGGAGTTTTCCCAGCTCCCTCCTGATGCCAAAGGGAACGCAGCACCTGGCCCACGCTGCCCAATGCTGACTGTGAGGAAAGGGGGCCTTCGGTGGCCCAGCTTCTCCCCAGTGTGGAGGTGATGCTGGTGCCGTGGCTGCCGTCACCGTGTGATTGTGATGCACCAAACAAGGAGCTCCGTGGAGCAAAAGCCCTGCTACAAGGAAAAGGAGGACGGGGACCGTGTTCTCCCTTCCCATCCTTTCCTTGCGCTGTCTTCGCAGCCTTTACAAGCCAAACTCGACTGTCAGCGAAGCAACTGCAGACGTAGCTCAACCACATCCTGTTTCCTGGGCTGCCAAAAGCACAAAGAGCAGCCCCATTTCCTTTCGCTTTCACCAATTGGGCCCAGTTTCACGGGTTTCAATGCTTTCCCTTTGTTTTTACCTCCCCCCCAAGTCAGTTTGAGCCTCAGGCCTCGGTGCCAAGTGCATGAGTGAGATTACAGCCCCCAGAACCCCACATCAGATGCATGTGCTCACCTCTGGCTTGCTACGGGTGCAACCATGGCCAGTGGGGACCAGCACAGGGAATGGGCTGCACGTCCAGGATGTGGCCTGCTGGGGTCCTGGGGGTGATGCAGGCTCCTGCAATGCAGGTTATTGCCTGGGGGTATTGAGAAAGGGTCCCATAAAGGTGCTGCAAGGGCTGGAGCAGCCCTGATCTGGAGCCAGGCTGGTCCAGCCTGGAGAAGAGAAGGGTCCTGAAGGGGAGAGCTTAGAGCAGCTCCAGTGCCTGAAGGGGCTGCAGGAAAGCTGGAGAGGGGCTTGGGATGAGGGATGGAGGGGGCAGGACAAGGGGAATGGCTTTAACCTGCCAGGGCGGAGGTGGAGATGGGATCTTAGGCAGTTTTCCCTATGAGGGCAGTGGGACACTGGGATGGGTTGAATGGAGAAGGTTTGGATGCCCCATCCCTGTTCAAGGCCAGGTTGGACACAGGGGCTTGGAGCAAGCTGCTCTAGTGGAAGGTGCCCCTGTCCATGGCAGAGGGTTGGAGCTGGATCAAGGCATGGTTTGGGCTGGAAAGCACCTTAAGGTCATCTCCCCCTAACCCTAAAGGATGCTCTTCAGGTCTCTTCTAAGCCAAACCGGTCTGAGACGCATGGATTCTGTGGTTCCCTGTGTGTCTGCAGAGGGCTCAGCCCTGCTCCCCTGCACCTCCACCCCCCCCCGCTCACCCCAGGGGGCTCGGGTGTCCCCATGGGATGCTCTGCCCCACCTCCAGGTCTCAGCCCTCACGAGAGGATGCCCGAGGGCCGGCAGCGGTACAGCGAGATATTCCGCGGCCTGGATGCCATCGAGATCTCCATTGGGAACGCGTACGTAGAGGAGGAAGTTGAGGGGGGGCTCGGCCACTTCCCTGGCTCTTTGGAACCCCACTGGAGCTCGGTGCCTCCTTTCCTCTCCCCCTGCTCCAGGGCAGTGGATCTGTTCACGGGTGACACCGGCAGCACCGACAGCCCAGCCCCAAGCGCGGCCACCGAGCTCATTCCGGTAGGAAAAGACCCGTATGATGGAAGAAACCCCCCACATCCCCAAACCCTGCGCTCTTCTCCCGTTTTCCTGGTCAATCCCTGCCTCTTTTCCCCTCCACAGTTGAGTGGAAGCTTCTGCCAGAGCAAAACCAGCCCAGAGAGGCCAGAGCTGACAGGTAACAGCGCCAGCTGAAACCCAAAGAGGGGACGTTAAGCTCTTGGCTCCCCACCCGGTGGATGATGCCGGTGTCCCCACTGCCACCAGTCCTGGAGCTTCCCACCCACTCTTCGCTCCTAACCCCCAAGACATCGATTCCCAAACCTGTGGTGGTTTTAAGCACAGGGAAGATGTCCCCAGGGAAAGCTGGGATGCTCCGGAGCACTTTGGAGGATTCTCATTGGTTCTTGTCGCTGGCATCCCGAAACGCAACAGGGACTTGGGGGTTCCTGAGAGGAAAGACCCCAGTTTCTACGCTGCTTCCCCCCAGATTCCATGGCTCGGGATGGGTTGGAAAGGCCCTGAAGGACTCACGCAGCCCTGGGCCCTCCTGAGCCTGCCTCTCTCGCTCTGCAGCTCGGGAGGCAGACGAGATGCTGCTGAGATGCGAGGGCGGCATCGAGGCGGCGCTCCGCTACGCCAAGCTGTGGTGCAAATACGTCAAGGAGCTGCTGAGCTGGATGGAGAAGCGCCTGGCTTACGGTGGGTCCATCACGGGTCCTGCTTATGGGGGGGGAAAAGAGCTTTCAGGAGGTGCTGGGTAAAAGACCACAGCCGAGAGCATCCCGTTGCAAGCAAAGCATAGGGAGAAGCGGGCCCAGCACCGACCCCTCGGGCTGCTTCGGATCAGGAGGACGAGGAGGCAGCGTTTGTGCTTCCAGGAATGATCCCGCTTTGCCAAAGGCACCTCCGGTGCCTGATCCGCTCTGGCCCTTTACAGAGACAGAGTTTGCCAAAGGGATGGTGAAGGTCGCAGAGGCAGGACAAAACGCCGTCTCCCAGCAGGTACGGCTCCTCGTGGGACGGATGGGATGGGGCTGGGAAGGCCCTTAGGATCATCCACTTCCAACCCATCGCCCCGGGGCCTGTCGCTGTGTTCCTGCTTCACGGGTGGGTTCCCGTTGGAGAAGGAGGAGCAGAGCAAACGTGCTCCCTGCTGCAGCCCTCCAGGACCCACGCCTCCGAGCCCATTCCTCAGCATGGGAATAATCCTTTCTCCTTCCGCTGGCTGCTCCTCCGCCGGCCCCAAGGTGCTTTTTGGCTTTCCGCAGCACGAGATGCCCCTCTGGGAGCTCTATCAAATGGTCCTGGAACACGACATCAAGGTTGGGAATGCGGCGGCCGAGGCGGCAGGGCTGCTCCAGCAGAAGGAATTCTACCAGGTGCTGTATTTAGGGAGGACTGCTGGAAGAGTCCATGGGAGCATCCCAGAGACGTGAGGAAGGGCTTTGTCCCGGTCTGAGGCCATGGAGGGGATAAGGAAAGAAGGGGATGGACCACCCTGATTTGAAGGGAGAAGGAGGCAGCTCACAAGGGCTGTTTCCTAACGGCACGCCTTTTCCTGCCCCATGGGGACCTCTTCCCACCCTCCCCGTTCTTCCCCTGCAGCCTCTGTCAGCCAAGAAGAACGAGATAGAGAAATGGAGGAAAGAATTCAAGGACCAGTGGACAAAGGAGCAAAAGAGGATGGTAAGAGGCCAAGAGATGGGCCTGACGTGATGCCAGCCAGGGCCCCCCCCACTGACACGGCCAAGCAGTAACTGCATAATGGGATATGCATCCAGCTGTTGATAATTGAAGAGTACAAGGAGGGGGGAGGAGGGATGCTGGTGGCATTCCCGTGCCATCCTCCCGCATCCCATCCCCTCCTGGTACCCGCAGAGCACGGATGCAGCTTGGCTTTAGCCCGTGGGAGGTGACCCAGGGCTGCTGGGGCTGCGCTCGGAGGGCACCCAGGTGGGGAGCCCTGGGAGGCGGGGGGGGCGCAGAACACGGGTGTCCATGGGAACGGCAGCATCCATCCCAAGCGGGAGGCAGGCGCTTCCCGTCCCGGCGCTCCCCAGCATCCTAAAGCCGTTCCCGTTGCGTCCCGGAGAGCGAAGCCCTGGGCTCGCTGCGCAAGGCCCGCCTGCAGTACTGCCAGCGCCGCGAGGAGCTGGGCAAAGCGAAGCTGCTGAGCGCCAGAGCCGAGGACGAGCACCAGCACCCGCAGGGCACGGCCGGCGCCGGCAGCAGGCACCTGGAGAAGCGGCGCCGCTCCTGCGAGGAGGCTCAGGCCAAGGTGAGCGCGCCCGCTCGAGCATCCCCTGCGCGGCGGCCCCTTCCCACCCATGCCAGGGTCTTCCTTCCTCTTCCTCTTCCATTCCCGGTGGCACGCAGGTTCAGGAAGCAGAGGCTTCGTACAAGGCGAGCATCACCGAGGCCAACATCCGGAGGCAAGAACTGGAGAGGGTGCGGGCGCGGATCGTCTCCCACATCCGGAAGCTGGTTTTCCAAGGGGATGAGGTGCTGACGTGGGTACGTGGGGGGCTCCGTCCCGGGGAAGCTGCTCTTCATGACGCCACCGTTCCAAAGCGCTTGGAAGCAGGGCGATGCTCTGGGTAGTCTCAGCTATCCAGCGATGGTTGCAGTTGGGAGTGCTCCCGGGATGCAGGTTTCCACATAGGAAAAGCGTGGGTGGGGATGAGAAGTCGTTCCCATCTGCACAAGTGGTGGTGACCGAGTTTGGGTGGTGACAACCTAAAGGCTGGTGAATGAGTGAGGTTCAAGGGAGGGAAGAGCACCTGGACTTGGACTATTAAAAGGGGCTTTGGGGTTTCTTTCCACCCCTAAGGTCACTCTAAGGATGTTCAAGCAGCGGCTGGCTCAGTCAGAGCAGATCCCAGTGAGGTACCAGTACCTGGCCGAGGTGTGCAAGCCATACAAAGCAGGCCAGAAGTACCTGGAGTTCATCCAGGCTCTGCAGAAGAAAGACATCCCGATGGAGGTGTTCGAATTCGAGCCGCTGCCTCTGGGAGGCCAAAGGTAGAAAGCGAAGCTGAAATCCCAGCTGGAATGGCAGAATTCCACGGCGCGACATCGTCTGCAACCGCTTCCCAGGTCCCCTCCCATCGGCAAGAAGAAGATGGCAGTGCAGTGCCCAGGACCTTCCTCCGCTGGGAAGGATGGGAGCACGCCGGAGGATGCATCCCGGCACGACGAGCAGGGTAGGTTCATGCTAACGGGGATGCCCCAACTTGCTCTCCAGCCATGGGATGGGTTGGGTTGGGTTGGGAAGGGCCCGAAGCTCATCCAGTTCCGACCCCCTGCCGTGGGCAGGGATGCTCCACACTAGACCACGGTACCCAAGGCTTTGTCCAACCTGGCCTTGAACCAGGGATGGAGCATCCCAACCTTTTCCTTTGGAGCCATTGCAGTGTCCCAGCACCCTCACAGGGCAGAACTCCTTATCTCCATCCTGAGCTTCCCTGCTTGAGTATGAACCCGTCACCGCTCCTCGCTGCGCTTCCGATCAGCAAAGAGCCGGGAGGGTTCTCACATTCTTCGGGGCAGCATCCAAGGATGTTTATGGGTGTTCCTGGGAGCTTGGCTGGGACTCGAGCCCCCGCTCAAGGATCCCAAGGCTCCCCCTTTGCAGCTACGAGCAGGGCCCTCTGCAGCGACCCCGAAAGCCTCGGGGGCAGCTGGGAATCCCGCTCCTTGGACTCTCCCAGTTCCAGCCCAGGTGAGAGCCGTGGAAACCCTGCCCCAAAGCCGGAGGGCATCGGCTCTCCGCCGAGCCTCGTTGTGCGCCGTGAGGGGGAGAACAGCCCCGGTTTGCTGTCTCCTTAAGGGACCTCTACCAGGAAGCTGCTGAAGGCGCCGTCCACCGGCGCCGTGTCCTCCTCGGATGACTTGGAAGAGAGGGATCCCTTGGAAAACGGTGAGGCCCATCCCGATGCGGCTCCGGAGGCGGAACCTCTGCGCAGGGATCGGTCCCTCTCCATGCTGTCTCCATAGAAACCAGCGCATCCCAGCCGCAGGCGAGGAGCATCCCCCTCTCCAGCGCGGCCCAGACCCACCGGCTCCGCAAGCTGCGGGGTCCATCCAAGTGCAGGGACTGCGACACCTTCATGGTCAGTGGCTTCGAGTGCGAGGAGGTGAGGGCTGGAAGACCCCACTATGATGGAGCCCGAGGTGACCACCTATGGGGGCCCCTCTGCCGCGTTCTTGTGCCTCCCCTCCCATCCAGAGCATCAGCCTGGAACCCTCTTGGGGTCCGTGGGGCTTTGATGCTTGAAGGGCCAGGAGATGCCCTTCAAGTTCAGGCACTGCTGGAGCCCCCCCCCCCCGGCCCCATAACCTTGCTGGGGGGGTTCTGCCCTCTCAGTGCTGCCTGGCCTGCCACAAGAAGTGCCTCGAGAGCCTGCTCATCACCTGCGGCCACAAGAAGCTCCCCAGCCGGGTGCCTCTGTTCGGGGTGGACTTCGCGCAGGTCCCTCGCGATTACCCCGAGGAGGTCCCTTTCCTCGTGGTCAAATGCACCTCGGAGATCGAAGCCCGGGCCCTGGGCGTGCAGGTGAGGACGCCGTTATCCTACCCCCCCCCCCCCTTGCTTTGGTCTCCTCTGCATCCCAACCCCCTGACCCGGACCGCGCAGGGCATTTACCGCGTCAGCGGATCCAAAGCCCGCGTGGAGAAGCTGTGCCAGGCGTTCGAGAGCGGACGGGGGCTGGTGGAGCTCTCCGAGCACTCCCCCCACGACATCACCGGGGTCCTGAAGCATTTCCTGAAGGAGGTGGGTAGCCCAAAGCTCGGGCCCCGCCACCCACAGCCCTCGGCGCGGGTAACGCGCTGCTTCCCTCCCCTCTCCCCGCAGCTTTCGGGCCCGGTGCTGCTGTCCCAGCTCTACGACGAGCTCATGACGTTGGCCAAAGAGCTTCAGAAACCCACGGAGGAAAGGCTGGATTGGGCAGCCTGCCCTTCCGAGCCCATCCGGAGCATGAAGGAGGTGCTGAGCAAACTGCCCGGCAGTAACTACAACACCCTGCGGCACCTCATGGCCCACTTGTACAGGTGAGGAGGTGGTGGGCGCGCTGCTCAGCATCAGGACCGACCACAGGGGATCCCTGCCAGGGGAGCGGGGAGCTCAGCACCACTCGTGTATGGGAAGAGAGTTTGGGGTTCCTTGGCCTCGAGAGCCAACAGGCTGTTGAGGAGGGTAAAACATTAGGGCATGGAAAGGACCATCTTAATGGCCAAGAAGGACCAGCAGGTCCTTGGTGCTAACACTTCATCAAGTGGAGAACAGGGTGCTAATGCTTCATTGAGTGCAGAGCAGCCTTAATGACCAAGAAGGACCACGAGGTCCTTGGTGCTAACACTTCATCAAGTTAATGACCAAGAAGGACCACAAGGTCCTTGGTGCTAACACTTCATCAAGTGGACAACAGGGTGCTAACACTTCATCAAGTTAATGGCCAAGAAGGACCACAGGGTCCTTGGTGCTAACACTTCGTCAAGTGGAGAACAGGGTGCTAATACTTCATTGAGTGCAGAGCAGCCTTAATGACCAAGAAGGACCACGAGGTCCTTGGTGCTAACACTTCATCAAGTTAATGACCAAGAAGGACCAGCAGATCCTTGGTGCTAACACTTCATCAAGTGGAGAACAGGGTGCTAATGCTTCATTGAGTGCAGAGCAGCCTTAATGACCAAGAAGGACCACGAGGTCCTTGGTGCTAACACTTCATCAAGTGGAGAACAGGGTGCTAACACTTCATTGAGTGCAGAGCAGCCTTAATGACCAAGAAGGACCAGCAGGTCCTTGGTGCTAACACTTCATCAAGTTAATGACCAAGAAGGACCACGAGGTCCTTGGTGCTAACACTTCATCAAGTTAATGACCAAGAAGGACCAGCAGATCCTTGGTGCTAACACTTCATCAAGTGGAGAACAGGGTGCTAATGCTTCATTGAGTGCAGAGCAGCCTTAATGACCAAGAAGGACCACGAGGTCCTTGGTGCTAACACTTCATCAAGTGGAGAACAGGGTGCTAACACTTCATTGAGTGCAGAGCAGCCTTAATGACCAAGAAGGACCAGCAGGTCCTTGGTGCTAACACTTCATCAAGTTAATGGCCAAGAAGGACCAGCAGGTCCTTGGTGCTAACACTTCATCAAGTTAATGGTCAAGAAGGACCAGCAGGTCCTTGGTGCTAACACTTCATCAAGTGGAGAACAGGGTGCTAACGCTTCATCAAGTTAATGGCCAAGAAGGACCACAGGGTCCTTGGCGCTAACACTTCATCAAGTGGAGAGCAGCCTTAATGACCAAGAAGGACCAGCAGGTCCTTGGTGCTAACACTTCATCAAGTTAATGGTCAAGAAGGACCAGCAGGTCCTTGGTGCTAACACTTCATCAAGTTAATGGTCAAGAAGGACCAGCAGGTCCTTGGTGCTAACACTTCATCAAGTTAATGACCAAGAAGGACCACGAGGTCCTTGGCGCTAACACTTCATCAAGTGCAGAGCAGGAGGTCAAGGACCAAGATGACCCAAGCTCTCTTTCACCCACCTCTGACCACAGCTCCCGAGCATCGCCCACTCCCGGTAGGGCCGCACCATCCAGCTCCAGGGTTCTCCCTGCTTTCCCTCTCCGAGGAAGCGGGGGTGTGGGGCACCCCACGGCTGCCGAGTGCGTTCGGGTGGGGAGCCCCTAACGCTCCCGCTTCCCTTCCTAGGGTGGCAGAGAACCACAAGGAGAACAAGATGTCCCCGAGCAACCTGGGCATAGTGTTTGGGCCCACCCTGGTGCGGGCGGGCGCGCGGAGCGACGCCTCCGTGTCCTGCCTGCTCGACTCCGGGTACCAAGCTCAGCTGGTGGAGTTCCTCATTGAGAACTACGAGCGGGTGTTCGGGCCGGAGGAGCTGCCCCCGGCCTCGCCATGGGACCGCGCCGCGTTGGAAGAGGAGGGTGAAGGACCCCGGAGCCCAAACCCGACCCGGAGCCCAAGGGTAGAGGTAGAGCTCCCAGGCTGCCCCTGCTCCAGAGGCAGGGAGGGGGATCTGTGGTTAAAGAGAGCTTCCTTCACACCCAGCAGCCCTGCTTCCTTACCCGAGGGTTATTCCAAGGGGAAGCAGCGGATGCGGTGGGAGACCAGCACCTTCTGGGACCGCTCTGAAGGGTGGTTTTGCTCTGGAGAGCAATGGGGGTTCCATACTAAGCTGCTGGCTCTCCCTGCTCCGTAACTTTGGGAGCAGCTTTGTGCCCCCAAGACCCAGCAGATCCCATAGGACGACCCCACAGGGCCCTGCCGCATCCCTAAGCGGCGGCCACACAGCCTGGTTTTCCATCGAGCATCCCGAGCTTCACAGCTCTTTCCTCCCAAGCTATTTCCCTGCGCTTTGAAGCCAGCAACGGGCACGGCATCCCTGCGCTGGGTTTCCTCCTTTCCACGCTCCTTTTGGTGGGCAGGAAAGGGGAAATCCCTTTGCTAAAGTTAAGGAAAAGGGAGCGAGAGCTGCAACTGGGGGATTCCCTGCCTCCTGCTTTGGAGCTGCGGGTGCTGCTGCGCAAGCCTCTGCCTGCAGCGACCCTGGCCACGGCTGATGGGCAGGGATGCTGCTTTGCTGCTTCCTTTCCAGGCCCGGCTCCCTGAGGAAGCACAAACCGGAGCAAGGATGCTGAGAGCTGCAGTAAACTCACACTCACACCATTCCCTTCCTGTGGGCAGCGAGGCTGCTCCATGGAAAGCGCTTTGGGACACACACAGCCCTCGCCTTTGGCTGTTTTCAAAGCCATTTGCACCTACTTGAAGGTGCTGTCAGAAAGGGGAGCTCCTCCTAAGGGCACTTTGGTTTTGCCATTGATGTAACCAAGATGCCCAGATCCTTGTGCAGGCTCACAGTGGGTCCCACACCAGCCCCATCCACGCTCTCCCATTGCATTGAACGCGGCTTCCCCCTTGTGCAGGCTCACAGTGGGTCCACACCAGCCCCATCCACGCTCTCCCATTGCATTGAACCCGACTTCCTGAGCTCCAGTGAAGGGCTTTGGTTTCGGATGCTCCCCCTTTTCGGGCTGCTTGGGCATCCTGTGGGACGTGGGGACCCATCTCAGCGCCCTGCTGCTCGCTGGGATGAGCTTTAGGGCAGCACATGGAGGCTGGAGCTGGGTTTCTCCCCCATGGCTCTGCCCTGTGCCCTTCTGCAAGCTCCATCCCTATTCCCAAGCCTTACAGCCGATCCAAGCCAAACCAAGGCGCTTTCAGCTCAAGCACTGCCCTCCATCCACTTGGCTCTACCAGCGCAGGGGGGGGGGAAGTGGGAGCTGGCGTTATCTCCACCTCAGATCCCATAGAAACGCTTCCTGCCCTCTTCCAACAGGATTCCTCCTGCCCGCACACGGGGATAGACGTGGATCCTGGGGCTGGGAACGCATCTTCCAGGGGAGCCATCCAGGAGCTGACTCCGGAGGGAGACCGAGGTCGAATAAGCCTGGATGCCTTGGGTAAAGGGGGGGTCACTTTAGGTATCACTTGGGTAAAGGGGGGATCACTTTAGGTACCACTTAGGTAAAGGGGGAATCACTTTAGGTGTCAGGTAAAGTGGGGATCACTTTAGGTATCACTTGGGTAAAGGGGGGATCACTTTAGGTATCACTAAGGTAAAGGGGGAATCACTTTAGGTGTCAGGTAAAGTGGGGATCACTTTAGGTATCACTTGGGTAAAGGGGGGATCACTTTAGGTATCACTTAGGTAAAGGGGGGATCACTTTAGGTATCACTTGGGTAAAGGGGGGATCACTTTAGGCAGCTGTTGACGCTGTTAACACAGGGACCCGGGTGGCCCCGGGCTGCTGTAGGACCCCATCTCACCGCTGCCTCCTCCTTCGCTCAGGGGTGCCCACAAGCGCTGGCTCCGCGCTGGAAGACTCCGAGCACGAGAGGACCGAGAGCGATTCCAGCCCCGGCTTCCACCGGCGGCCGCTGAAGGCCCCCGGCACGCCGGCAAAGGCGGCACCACTCATCCCCTGGACGAGTCCCGGCGCGGCCATGGGCTGGGGGGCAGAGGGCAGCTCTCCCCACAGCAGCGCCGTGACGAGGGAGGAGGGCAGGCGGAGCAGGGAGGGCTCGGCCGAGCCCCGCACGCTCAGGCACGGCACCGGGGGCAGGCAGCAGCTCCGGCGCCTTGAGGTGCTGCGGGGAAGAGGCAGGGTTGTGTCCGAGCCCCACGGCGGAGCCGCTGCCGCAGCCCCGGAGGGCACGGGGTGTGCTGCGGGAGGGGAGGACCTCATCCCAGGCACGTACCTATAGGGAAACCCCGAGGGATGCCGGGGTAACGGGAGGCGATGCCGGGGGCCTGGCTTGGAGGGTGGCAGCGCAAAGGGAGGCCATTGGGCAGCAAACATCCGCAGGCGGTCAGGTTTTGGCTGCTGCGACGAGCCCTGAGCTTTGATTTCACACCTCCGGGGGAGGGTAACCCACTTCTTGGGTGTAATAGGAGAGGGTGATGGGCGAAGCTCCCGTGCTCCGCATCCTTCCCCTTCCATCGCCGGGGCTTCCCCTTGCTGCTCAGCACAAAGCCACTCTGCAAAGGGCAGAGGCTCTGAAGCAGAGCCCATTTCTCCAGCGGCTCACCCCAACTCCTTCCAAAGCCCAATTGCCTCCGTCGCCCCCTGTAAAGGCAGCAAAGCCCTGAACCTCCGGCGGATTGGGGGGGTCTAAGACAAGGTTGCTGTGATTTAGGTCCCACCTGCACCTGGGTCACCCCAAAGCTCCTTTTGGCCTCCTCAGAGCCGGCTCTGCTGCCCAGCCAAGCCTTGCCCGGGGCCTGCAGAGCCATCTCATGTGGGTTTGCTTCTTAACAACGCTGGAAAGCAAATGCCGAGGCTCTGCTCTTCCTATGTGTTACACCTGGGGCTCCGGAGCAACGCCTGTTTGTTCATGTAGAGCTTGGGATACCTGAAGAGCAACTTCTACTGGAGAGCTCCTATAATAAACCGCTGGGGGGGGTTATTATAAGCTCAGCCTCTCTTTGTTCCCTATGAATAGGGAAGCCTTGAGCAAACGCTCACCGGAGTGTTTGAGCAGCACCCAGCGCTCTCGGGTCTCTGTAACACAAAGGTGGCTCCTGCCCACAGGAATTCAGAGCTTGAGGAACCAGCACGGGTAGGATAAAACCCCTGCAAAACGAGCCCTTTATTTCCTTCTCCTGCTGCACCCTCAATGGGAGATTCCTCCTAACCAGGAGAAGGATGAGGGCTTGGGGAGGGCAATTCCTGCCACCCCCTTCCATCAACCCATCACATACAGGACCATCACTAGAGACAAGACATGGTCTTACCTTCTAACTCCTTCCTACTGCTGCTTTCCTGGTCATCTGGTAAGGGTAGGAGCTGCCAAAGCATCACTGACAGGTCCCAGTTACAGAGGGAAAACTGGGATGCAGGCTCCAAAGCATCACTTCCAGGCTGTCAGGTCCCAGTTACAGAGGGAAAACTGGGATGCAGGCTCCAAAGCATCACTTCCAGGCTGTCAGGTCCCAGTTACAGAGGGAAAACTGGGATGCAGGCTCCAAAGCATCACTTCCAGGCTGTCAGGTCCCAGTTACAGAGGGAAAATGGGATGCAGGCTCCAAAGCATCACTTCCAGGCTGTCAGGTCCCAGTTACAGAGGGAAAACTGGGATGCAGGCTCCGAAGCATCACTTCCAGGCTGTCAGGTCCCAGTTACAGAGGGAAAACTGGGATGCAGGCTCCGAAGCATCACTTCCAGGCTGTCAGGTTCCAGTTACAGAGGGAAAACTGGGATGCAGGCTCCGAAGCATCACTTCCAGGCTGTCAGGTCCCAGTTACAGATGGAAAACTGGGATGCAGGCTCCAAAGCATCCCTCCTCCTGCTCAGAGCCAGGGTTTGCTGGGTCCCAGCCGCAGCTGATGTGGTTTGGACCTCAAGAAGCAGCCACTTGGCAGGGCAAGAAGCATCAATTCCTCTTCCCTTCAAAGGGCTCAGCTGTATTTAGATACAGCAAGGGACAGGCAGTAACCACCAAGGAACAACCTCATTTCCTCCCTCAAGAAGCCTCCCCAGGCTCTTCTTTCCACAGCAGCACCCCATGGAGGGGCCTGGCTGACCCCTAAGTGGGAGCTGCACCCCACAGGCTGCTTGCAGGCTATGGAACTGATGCATGAAGCCACAGCAACCCTCTCGTGAGCCCTCTTAGCAGCCAACCAACCAGTTCCTGATTCCAAGCCTTTACTTCCCATAGAGGCAACGTGGGGTGAGGGCACAAGGCAAGGAGCTCAGCTCAGCCCCTCCATGTGCTCCCAGCCCCATCTGTTGGGCCCTGCAAGAGCCCGATGGCTTTAGGTAAGGACCAAGAGGCTCCCCTGCAAGGCTCTAACAAAGGGAGAGCAGGGGAAGAGCCCGAAGGAGGCTTCGCTCGCAGCTGTTTCCTATTGAGCCGTTAGCACTTCATCAGCATCCCTGGAGCACCAAGGTGGGGATGAGTGATTGCTTGGCTTTGAGGGGGGAGCACGGGCGTTCAGCGGGGTTTAATGCTGCCTTCCCAGGTGCAGCCTTTCCCTGGGAGCGTTTATGGCTCCATCCCTCAAGGTAAGAAGCGTTCCGTGCCTCTCCAAGGGAGGTGGAGCCTTTGTCAAAGCCCCTCCAAGTGCTCAGCAGCATCCCAAGGAGCTGGTTTCGAGATGCGGGCCCCTTTGCGGGTCGTCTGCTGCCTGCTTTGAGAGGCAACGCTGGGCTGGGGGCTTACAGCAGGGCCCCATCTCATGGCCTCCGCTCAGCACCCACCCCTTGAGCGCGTTGGGTGCTTGTGTGCACGGAGATAGGGAGATGCTGTTGATGCGAGCAGGTAGGAAAAGCCTTTCCCTGCCTTGGGAAGGGGGCGATGTGAGCAACCGCTTCTAAACCCTCAGCTGCTTGTATTTAGGTGGGAGGTTTCATTCCTCAAGCATGAGCAGGGCAGCGTTACCCTTGTGCAGGGTCCTTGCTCGCTCCGTTAGCTGTCACCGAAGGACGCCCTTCAGTTGGGCCTCGCTCTTCCAGCAGTCACCAGGAGGTACCAAATCCGCTTGGGTTTGTGCTTTTAAGCTGTTCGGTTGCTCTGGTGGTGGTGGGGGGGGGGGGTTAGCAGCAGGAGTGGCTGTGTAGGCAGTGGTTTCTATTGATAGCTTGGACCCCAGCGTGGCTGGTGCACAAAGGAAGATGGGTTTCTTGTTGCCTCCTTGTCTTTGAAAGGGGTTTTCCAGTAGGGAATCAGCGGGGGAGCCCATGGTGCTGTAGCTTTTGGCTGCTCCTTCTCCAGCATCCCCCGTGGATGCCCGGGGTAGCGGTACCCGGATCATAGGGAGAGGTGGGGAAAGCAGCGTCCGGATTCCTGATCCAGGAGTCAGGAAACCCTTTTGGGGTGGAGCTTGGCTGAGGTTGCTGAGGGCTTCAGCCCCTTTGGATGGCGGTGCAGGCACACCCATAGGTGCTGTGCACGTCGGGGCACCCTAAAGCACGGGCAAAGGGGAGTGTGGCCTCAATGCACCCTGCGTGGCTCCCCCTCCCTGCAGCCTGTGGTCGGGATCCTCTCCGGGCCCTGGCTGCTCTCCTCTATCATTGCCTTGGACCAAGGATGTGGGGAGCTGTAATTCCGGCTCTGCTGAGCCAGCGCCTTCGGGATACTTGGCAGGCAGGGCCCTGGGGATGGGCGCTTTGGGGAGGGATCAGGAGCTGTGGTTCTCGGTAGAGAGCTGTGTCAGACATGAGCGTGTTGGGCTCCGTCTTAACAGCAGCAAAAGCTTTCCCGCTGCTTTGCGTGGAAGCAAGCGTCAGAAGGAAGGGTTTCCCAGCTAGAAACGGGCCTAAAAGCTCCGAGTTTGGGTGAAAACCTGACCCCAAATGATCAGAATTAACCCAAAGGAAAGGCAGCTCTGTTTGTCCTGGGAACCTGGGATGCTGTGGGCCAGCCTGGGGCCCGGAGCTACTGAAATGGGCTCTCCCATGCTCAGTGATGTGCAAGGGACAAAGAGGATCCTGGCTCTGGCGGAGGGAGGGTTTGGGGAGCTCCCTTAGGGAAGGGCTGGTGCTTGGCCCTGCACGGAGGAATTCCCACCCGGGATTGTTGCCTCGATGAGGGTGTCAAGTGCTGGAATGCTGAAGGAGAGGCTTGCTTCACAACCAGCATCCCCCCTTGGCCTTAACCTCCTTGCGGCTCCATCCCTCCGGGGCCAAGCTCTCCCCTCTCGGAGCCGCAGCTCCTGCCTTCGGGATCGGTGTCCCTATGGAGGGTAATGCCCTCCTCCCCATGGGAATCGGGAGGGGCAGCAGCAGGGGGGCCCCGAGAGCATCCCCGCCCCAAAGCAAACACCGCTGCAAGCATCCCTCTTCCCTCCCCTGCTGCTGCTCTCCCCTTGGAGAGGGCTGGAGCGGAGCAGCCCAGAGCCCATCTCCAGGGTAGTTACTTCGGGAAGGGGAAAGCCTTGCTCTGCCAAGGGTGCATTTGGTGGCCCAGGCTGGGAATCCACTGCCAGCGAAGGGGACAGGATCCAACGCGATCCTTTGCATCAGTGGTCTCCCCGCTCCAACTGAAGCCTGCAGCAAGGGGATGCTTCCCCTTAAGCGAGCCTGGAGCAGGAGGAAGAGGGACGGGGATTGTTCTTTGGGGTTGCCCTGGAGCAGCTGATGGGAAATGCCTCTGCCTCTTGGTCAGGAGTAACCAACCTTTGATGCTGGAGGCTTGGGAGCAGCTGCTCTGCCGCAGCTTGGAGCTGGCTCCGTGTCAGCAGCAGTGGGTGTTAGCATATTCCTGCCTTCTTACCACTGTGTGTGTATATATACACACATATGTTATATATATACATATATATATTATATATATCACTGTATGTATGTGCTGTTTTCTATGGGATCTGCCCATTAAGAGCTCCGCTGCCCTGGTGTGGGGTGCTCCTCCCTGGGACTTGGGAAGTGTTAACGGGAGCAAGTGGCTCTCAGCAGAGATGTGCTGGGGAAGGGGGGGAGATGCTGCCGCGGCTCCTTCCAGAGGGTTTGTAGCATTCCTGGCATTCCAAGAGAGGGGTTTCAGGGTTCAACCCCCTCCCTTTGGGCTCCACAGCAACAGTCAGTGGGGCTTAAAGGGAAATATTTGCTTTAGGCTCGTTGGAAGATGCAACATCTCCTCAACGGACCCGCTCGCTTTGAAAGCCGGGAGGGAGGGAGGGAATCGCTGTTGTCTTTGGAACTGCTTCTCTACCAGTTCTCTGCTGGGCACCAGGATGTGAGCAGAGCTGCAGCTGCATCGGGCTCCGGTTACTCCGTGCCTCTGCTTGAGCTGGGCCGGGGGGGGGACGATGCTGCACGGCACCCTCTGAGCCTCTTCCCGATAGGAAACCTCATGGAGTGAGGAGGGAAGGTGGAGGGGGATTGACCCAACGGGTACCCGCTCGCCTCGGGCTCGCCTGCGCTCAGCATCCCGGTGCTCCGGCCCCGAAGTGACGCTGTTGGGAGAGATCTGAGGTCGGCCTCGAAGGGATTCTGATGTGGAGCTGTTGGAGCCGGGCCAGAGGAGGCCACGGGGATGAGCAGGGGCTGGAGCAGCTCCCGCATTGAACAGTGGGGCTGGGGAAGAGAAGCTCGGGGTGTGAAGGGGGCTCCAAGGATGCTGGGGAGGGCCCTGCAGCAGGGATAGGCCATGGGGTGATGGGTTCAGCCTGGAACAGGGAAGTTCAGGGTGGAGATGAGGAAGTTCTGCCCTGGGAGGGTGCTGAGGCGCTGGCACAGGGTGCCCAGAGAAGCTGCGGCTGCCCCATCCCTGGCAGTGCTCAAGGGCAGGTTGGACACAGGGGCTTGGATCAAGCTGCTCCCGTGTGAGTCACCCCTGCCCATGGCAGGGGCTGGAACTGCATCACCTCAAGGTCCTTTCCAACCCAAACCATTCTAGGATGTGGTTGCAAAAGCTGCTGCGAGGGGTTTGGGTGCAATGGCTTTGGCTCTGGGGGTAGCACACCCTGCAAGGGGCGTGCTGGGCCCAAACCCATGTGTATCATCAGGTGAACCCAATGGGGCTTGGGGAAACAGGGAGTGGGGGGCAGAGATTTACTGCAGCTTGGACGTGGTTCTCTTTGGCCTTCAGCTCACTGTATAACCACAAGGGTGATGCGGGAGGGTGAAGGATCTGCCCCGGGCCAATGTCCCTGCTCTGTCAGTGTGTCCTTGGCCCTATCTCTTTCCCCTTTGTGCTGGGCTCTTGGGCAATCTCCTGCCTGCCTCCCAGGGCCTGATTTGGCCCTGCCAAGCTCTGTGCGTCTGCCTGGCAGCAGATTAGGATCGGGCCCGGTGATAACATTGTTCCCTGGGGAGCAGATGGGTGGGAGGAGGAGGGTTGGGAGGGGAGGAAATAGGAGCCAAATGGCAACCGCTGGGGCCCTCTGCGAGAGCAGGAGGTATAAATCAGAAGGACTTTGATGTAGATGGGTGCTGCCAACCTGGCGGGGCTCCTTCCTCCATCATTCACACAGCAAGGGCTCGGGGCACTGCGTGTGCTCTTGGTTTACGTGTGCTGCTTGGGAGGCAGGATCACCTCGGATGCACCAAGGAACGGGAGCTCTCTTCCGTGCACTTCTACCCCAGGAAAGCCCTCCCCGCTCCGTGCCTCAGTTTCCCTCGCGTCTCACAGCTTCTCCCCGCTCCCAAGCGTGGATGTGGGGAGCCCCTGGAGCCGGCAGCCCTAGAGATGGGGGTGCACTGCGAAAGCATCCTTCTGGTGCCACGGCTCCTCCATCACTGGTCCAGAGCCCCTCAGTCCCAGGACGCGCTGCTGGCACAAAGGCTCTGGAGCAGGATTGAACCCTCCCCCCGGTGCGACGGGAGGGTCGGGAGCGGAGCTAACCCGGGCCAGCCGGGACTGGAGGGGTTGGGAAGCGGCTCCAGCCCCCGTGGAGGCGGCAGGGATTCGGGTTACAGCGCCTGGACGGACCCGCCTAGGGGAGGACCCAAGGAGGGGGCGGCTTGGGGCGAGCTCTCGCCAACTCGCCTCGCCGGAGCCAGCGTTCGGGAGCGCTGCGATGGGGCTGGGAAGCGCGGCCGAAACTTCCCCGTGAGGCGCTTGGGTTCCCCCGCCTGCATCCCCGCCTCGGGAAGCGGCTCTGCCCTTCCAGCGATGGGGAGCTCCTTGCTGGAGAGCCGCCCTGGCTTGCTGCGGTGGGGAGAGCGACGCTAAGGGCCAAGCTCCGGGGGCGGTTGGGTCGCGCTTTCAGGTAAGACCCCGTTCTTGGGGGGTCAAACTTGGGCTGAAAAGCAGCCGTGGGGTGAGCGGTGGGGCCGTGTGAATCAGCGTGCGGGGGAACGCAAGGCCGCCTTCGAGCCCCTTTATCGAGCCATTGTTCTTGCCTGGATCCAACAGGGCTGGGGGCCGGGGGTGGGAGCCCCGTTCCCGAGGGCTGGATGCGTTCCCGGTCTGCGTTTGCCACCCCCGCAAGCAGGGGGAAAGGGGGGGGGACACGGGACGGGACGGGACCCCCTTTCCTCCTTCCCTTCCCTTCCCTCTCGGGGCAAGACGGCTCCGAGCTCACCGCGAGCCTGGGAGGAGGGAGACGGGGGGGGAGCGGGTGCTCGCAGGCAGCCGCGCTCCTGCCGTGGGGCTGGCCCCTGCTCGAGCTCCGCTGGATGCGCCAGGGTTTGGGATTGGGGTTGAGGAAGTGCGAGGAGAGGCTCGGCTCCAAGGGCGAGGGGCCGCGGGGCCGCTGCGGCTCGGAGCCCGAGTGGGGCTGTACCGAGGAAGAAGAAGGGGGGCTGCCGGCCCCCCGAACAATGGAGTCCTCCGGTTCCTTTGTGCATCATGGCACCAGCCTGCCTTCGGCCTCACGGCTGCGGGCACGCTCTTCCTCTGCCCCTGCTGCTGGCCGTGAAGCGGCACAGAACCCAGCGCGGGCGCCGGTAACCTCTCAGCCCCTCCGGGACTCATTGCGTTGCCCCAACCCGGTTTGTAACCCACGCTGCCACCCTCAAACTGTTCCCTGGGATCCGAGTGGGTTTTGCCCCAAGCAGCCTTTAAGCCTCTTGGCAACGTCTGAATGCTGAGGGGCTGCTTCTCTATATTGGGGTGCTGCAAACGCAGGACATGGCCCCTTTATGGCTTAACACAGCTCTAATCCCCCCCCCCCGAGTAGACGCAGCATTGAACACAGTGTATGATGCTGTGAGACAGGTTCCCATGGGGGTCTCTCATAGCTGGGGGGCCTTTAATGCTTGTGAGAGAAGAGACTTGGTCTCCAGAGCTCAGTGGCAAGGTTCAAGCTTGTTTTAGCCGGGTTCAATCCGGCTTGGAGGCAGCTCAGACACGACTGAGAGAGTAAGAGCTGGAGCCATGGGCACCGTGGTGCTTGAATGGTGCTGGAGATGGACAGCATCGTGCGGGCTGGGTATGGGCCGGTTGCGTTGTGGTCCCCACTGTGCCAGGTCAGCTGCTATGACTGGTGCCACTCGGGTTTCTCTCCTTCCCCTGCGTGTGATGTTCAAGTGGTTTTCTGCCGTCAGTGCCACTTCCCTCTTTGCTTTGGGGTTCAAGCTCTCACCGGTGCTTGGAGGAAGCTCTTTGGCATAAGAAGGGCCAAGCCTTTGGTGTGAGTTTTGGATCCACCCTCCGAAGGTGGCATCCACCTGCCTGTGATTCAGCATCCCGACCCTGGGCGTTCCTCCCTTCCTCCTTCTCCCATCGCTTTCCCCTGTTCCGAGCCAGGTCACCACGTGGTGTGTCTGAGGAAGCCACTGGGACGCTTCCAACCCCTGCGCTGCACGGGACCACACGATCCCTGAGCATCCCATGAGCTGGAAAGAGAGGGAAGATGGACTCGTTACGTGGTACTAGCTCACGGCTCCATCCCCTGGGGCGGCTCCAGTCCTCCCCTGCCTCCTTTTCCTTCCCCTCCCATCAATACCCTTGCAGCCCAGACCCCCCCCATGTCCTGGGCTGCATCCCCAGAGCATGATGCTGAAGCATCCCAGGACGCAGCAGCGGGGAACCGCTGCCTGGAGAGCGGAGGAGCGTGGACTCACAGAACAAACACGGAACCAATTGGAGCCCCTGAGCTGTGTTTTAGGTTGGAGAGTGACTTAAAGTGACTTGTGAGCACGCTGGGTTTCCTCCCTGTGTAAGAGGGCGGCGTGGTCTGCCCTAAACCCTCTCTGAGATGAGGGTGATGGATGGATGAGCTCATGAGAGGGCAGGGAGAAGCAGTGCCTTCATGTGCAGGACGCAGCAGGCGAAGGAAAAAGCGTGTCATCCATCACTCAGCACCTCGGTGCTGCGAGGAGGGAGGCTCCAAACCGGGTCTGCCCTTCCCAGTGGGGCCTGCAGCCAGCCCTGACTTGAGATTTCCAGGCTCTGGGTTAGGAAAGGAGCAGGAACATCTGGGGGGGGGGGGATAGGGATCCATGGGATTGTTTGGGGTGCTGGAGCTTGGTGCCGCCCCACGCTCTGTGCGGTCCCCGGGCGCCACAGGGCTCCCTGATGCTCCAGCCCCATGGCTGTGCGGGCTGACTTCGTGCCACTCGGTTTGCTTTGCGGGGCCGAGGAGGCTCCTTTCCTGCCCCGTTCTTTCCCTCTCCTTTGGCCAAGGTTGGGAATGGCTTTGGGGCAGGCCCAGCAAGCGCTGCCCGTGTTGGGAGGCTCACGCCCCTCTCGTCCCTCTCTAGGCCAGCAGCAATGAGGCACTGCTTCTACAATGAGACCGTGGGGTTCTTCTACAACAACAGCCGCAAGGAGCTGACCACGTACTGGAGGACCAAGGATGTGCTGGTGGTGGCCCTGGGCCTGACGGTGAGCGTCATCGTGCTCCTCACCAACCTGCTGGTCATCACGGCCATCATCATCAACCGCCGCTTCCATTACCCCATCTACTACCTGCTGGGCAACCTGGCTGCCGCGGACCTCTTTGCCGGCGTCGCTTACATGTTCCTCATGTTCCACACGGGGCCCAGGACGGCGGAGCTCTCCCTGAAGACCTGGTTCATCCGTCAGAGCCTGCTGGACACCAGCTTGACGGCGTCCGTGGTGAACCTGCTGGCCATCGCTGTGGAGAGGCACCAGACCGTGTTCACCATGCAGCTGCACAGCAAGATGTCCAACCAGCGGGTGACGATCCTCATCTCCTGCATCTGGGTCACGGCCCTGCTCCTGGGGCTCATCCCCTCCTACGGCTGGCACTGCCTCTGCGCGCTGGAGAAGTGCTCCAGCATGGCCCCGCTCTACAGCAGGAGCTACCTGACCTTCTGGGCCATCTCCAACCTGGTCATCTTCCTCATCATGGTGGTCGTGTACACGCACATCTTCGTCTACGTCAAAAGGAAGATGACGCGGATGTCCAAGCACACGAGCTTCCACCCGCGCTACAGGGAGACCATGATCAGCCTGGTCAAGACGGTCACCATCATCCTGAGTGAGCGCACGGCGCGGTGCTTGGGGCCAGGGCTCGGTGGGGTGGCTGTGCTCAGGGCAACGGGGGGCGTCGGGAAGGGATGCGCTGCTTCCCTGGTGCTCGGGGGGAGGCTTGGCTTTGGTGCTGCCAACTCGGGTTTCGGGGCTCTGCGTGAGCTGGAGCAGGACAGGATGGGGCGAGCATGGGTGCTGCTCGGGTTAGAAGAGGTGAGAGGAGCTGTTACCGATGGGACTCGGTAACCCCCAGGTGCTGGGGCTTGGGGCACGGAAGCAGCTCTTGAGGTGCTCAGCTCCAGTCTGCTTCCTCCATAGAGGGGTGGCGTGGAATTAGGAGCTGTGATCAAGGGGCGCTCGGTGCAGCCCTTATTGGAAGGATGGAGCGGGGTTTGGGGCTGCCCTCCCGAGGTGCTGGGGGAGGCAGGAGGGGGCCGCAGCCAAATTCCTCGCTGGTTATGGGCTGGGGCATTGAACTGGGTGCAGATGGCTTCGGTTGAGCGGCTCGGCGCTGCCAAGCGCGTGCCTGGGGCTCGGAGCTCTCACTTCAAGCTGCTCTCCGTGAGCAGAGGGGCTCCAGCAGTGCTGGCTGCCCGTCGGTGGGCCTGCAGGGAGATGGGAGCAGGAGGTGGAAGAGCTTGGTGCTGAGGCTCTGACTGCAGGGCGTTGAAGCGCGTTCGGATCGGCGCTGTCCTGCCCGGTGCTGCGCATCCAAGGGAAGGCCAGAATGGGTTGGGATGGAAAGGAGCTCGAGATCATCCGGTTCCAACCCCCTGCCATGGGCAGGGGCACCTCACACTAGGCCATGGCACCCAAGCCCCATCCAGCCTGCCCCTGAGCACTGCCAGGGATGGGGCAGCCGCAGCTTCTCTGGGCACCCTGTGCCAGCGCCTCAGCACCCTCCCAGGGCAGAACTTCCTCATCTCCACCCTGAACTTCCCTGTTCCAGGCTGAACCCATCACCCCATGGCCTATCCCTGCTGCAGGGCCCTCCCCAGCATCCTTGGAGCCCCCTTCACACCCCGAGCTTCTCTTCCCCAGCCCCACTGTTCAATGCGGGAGCTGCTCCAGCCCCTCCTCATCCTCCTGGCTTCCTCTGGCCCGGCTCCACCACCTCCATGCCCTTCTTAGCTTGGGATGTGCATTGTGCTCTCAAGAACCCATTGCTCCAGGGGTTCCTTAAGGAAAGCCTCAGGTCCTTAAAGCAGAAGGGAAGCACCAGGCCCAAGGAAACCAAAGCGCTGCACTCCAGGCCCGGGATCACAACCCTTTGCTTGCCAATCTTCCCCGATAAGCCCAGAATTGGGCAGGGAAACCTCGGGGCTGCAAGCCAAGAGTCCTCCCTTGCAAGCTCCCGTTGGTACAATGGGGCTCAGCACGGGCTGGAGGGGAGCTGTGGGGCTGCTTGCTGGGGCTCGTGAGCAGCGGAACCGGAGTTTTCTGCCTCTTCCTGCTTTTCCTTTGCTGCTGCTTCCCATCCTCTCCATCGGCCGGGTGCAGCAGGGGGTGGTTACTGCCTGGATGCGGCGTGGATCGAGGTCCTGCTCGTGCTTGGGACAGGCTGCAGAGGAGAGAAGCTGGCTTGTTCCTCCTTCACCCCCTTTGAGCAGCATCAGGCTCACCCCATGGTGTCTGCAGGGCTGCTGAACCCCATGGGGCTTCACATGGGCTGGAAGAGGGTTGGCAGGAGAGGGGTGCTGGCCAAGAGGCAACCACCTTGTACTGGGAGAGCACCTTCCTCTTTGTCTTCTGCCTTGAGCTGGGGTCAAGAGGAGCCTTGGCAGAGCTGCTGCGGTTCCGTAGGGAGCTGGGGCTGGTGCCTGAGGGTGACCAGAGCGGGGAGAAACCTGGTGGAGGGAGAGGCCGGAGCTCATCAGGCCTGGGGGACTCTTGGAAGCCGAGAGGTTCCCCTGGCTGTGCAGGGCAGTGGCGGAGAGGAGCAGCGCTTGGGTCTGTGCAGGGAGCAAGAGGGAGATGCTGAGCTTGAGGTGGGGGGAAAAGACCTTTCCATTGGGGGAAAGACCTTTCCATTGGGGGGAAAGACCTTTCCATTGGGGGGAAAGACCTTTCCATGGGGGAGAACACCTTTCCATTGGGGGGAAAGACCTTTCCATTGGGGGAAAAGACCTTTCCATGGGGGAGAACACCTTTCCATTGGGGGGAAAGACCTTTCCATTGGGGGAAAAGACCTTTCCATTGGGGGAAAGACCTTTCCATTGGGGGGAAAGACCTTTCCATTGGGGGGAAAGACCTTTCCATTGGGGGGAAAGACCTTTCCACTGGGGGGAAAGACCTTTCCATTGGGGGGAAGACCTTTCCATTGGGGGGAAAGACCTTTCCATTGGGGGGAAAGACCTTTCCATTGGGGGGAAAGACCTTTCCATTGGGGGGAAAGACCTTTCCATTGGGGGAAAGACCTTTCCATTGGGGGGAAAGACCTTTCCATTGGGGGAAAGACCTTTCCATTGGGGGGAAAGACCTTTCCATTGGGGGAAAGACCTTTCCGTGGGGGGAAAGACCTTTCCATTGGGGGGAAAGACCTTTCCATTGGGGGAAAGACCTTTCCATGGGGGAGAACACCTTTCCATTGGGGGAAAGACCTTTCCATGGGGGAGAACACCTTTCCATTGGGGGGAAAGACCTTTCCATGGGGGGGAAAGACCTTTCCATTGGGGGGAAAGACCTTTCCATTGGGGGGAAAGACCTTTCCATTGGGGGGAAGACCTTTCCATTGGGGGAAAAGACCTTTCCATTGGGGCAAAGACCTTTCCATTGGGGGGAAAGACCTTTCCATTGGGGGGAAAGACCTTTCCATGGGGGGAAAGACCTTTCCATTGGGGGAAAGACCTTTCCACTGGGGGGAAAGACCTTTCCACTGGGGGGAAAGACCTTTCCATGGAGGGAAAGACCTTTCCATTGGGGGGAAAGACCTTTCCATTGGGGGAAAGACCTTTCCATTGGGGGGAAAGACCTTTCCATGGGGGGAAAGACCTTTCCATTGGGGGGAAAGACCTTTCCATTGGGGGGAAAGACCTTTCCATTGGGGGAAAGACCTTTCCGTGGGGGGAAAGACCTTTCCATTGGGGGAAAGACCTTTCCATTGGGGGAAAGACCTTTCCATTGGGGGGAAAGACCTTTCCATGGAGGGAATGACCTTTCCATTGGGGGGAAAGACCTTTCCATTGGGGGGAAAGACCTTTCCATGGGGGGGAAAGACCTTTCCACTGGGGGGAAAGACCTTTCCATTGGGGGGAAAGACCTTTCCATTGGGGGGAAAGACCTTTCCATTGGGGGAAAGACCTTTCCATTGGGGGAAAGACCTTTCCACTGGGGGGAAAGACCTTTCCATTGGGGGAAAGACCTTTCCATTGGGGGGAAAGACCTTTCCATGGAGGGAAAGACCTTTCCATTGGGGGGAAAGACCTTTCCATTGGGGGAAAGACCCTTCCGTGGGGGGGAAAGACCCTTCCATGGGGGAAAACACCTTTCCCTATGGACTCAGCGCGCAGTGAGCTGCGGCTGCAGAGGGCTCCTTCCCTCCCTGAGGCCCTGCTCCAATCCCTTCCCCACCCTCATTCCCCGGCCTTCTGCAAACTTGGCCTCTGCACAGGGAATGCCTTGCTCCTGATGCAGCGGGAGGGCGAGGCGGTGGTGAGGCAGCGGAGGGTGCGGTGGGAGCTCTCTGCGTCCCCTGCTCCGTTGCCAGGCAGGGTTAATCCTGCTGGTCCTGGGCGTCGGGAGCAGGTCTGGGAGCCTGTGAGGAGGCCAAGGTGTAGCTGGGGAGCGGGGGGAAGCGTTCCCCCAGAGCAGCGGGTGGGATGTGGCCACCCCATGGGGCTCTGTGGGTTCTTGCTGCCTCCTCCAGCTTCCGTTCAGGAGCAAGGCAAGGGCTGGATCTGCAGGCAAAGGGCTTCCTTTTGGTTCTCCCTTCTCTGTAATGTGCCTTTGGCTTTCCTTAGCGCTGCTGGGTGCCAGCCCCGAGTGAATCCACTTTCCCTTGCGACCCTGAAAACCTGGCCATAAAGAAGGGTGCAGCCACTAAAGGAGGAGGTGCCTTTCCTTCGGGCCAACCAGGAGTCCCTCCTCTCTGTTTGCTCGATGTAAAGGAAGCAAAGTCCTGTTTGCAAGTGGTGAGGAGGAGGAAAAGCTGCCTGGGGCTGGCTGTGGCCCCTGCTGTGCTGGAATGCAAGGGCTCGGTGGGGCAGCTCTGAAGCTGGGGATGCTCCCAGACCCCCTGCGCATCCCTCCCCAGCGCTCCTTTAGCAGGCTCGTCCTCCCTGCTCTGCCTGCTGCTGCTGCTGCTCTCCCCAGGCAGATGGTTTGCAGTAACAGGGGTAGGTACCAGCACTCACAGCACGTCCCATTCCCTGCCAGCCGACCCCAGAAGGGCCAGCGGGGTGCAGCTGCCCTGCTTGAGCCAACCTCCTGCCTGACCCCCGGGAGCACCCATGGGTGAGGGCTCCGTTGATGTCAGCCTTGGGAGCACCCATGGGAGAGGGCTCCGTTGATGCCAGCCTTGGGAGCACCCATGGGAGAGGGCTCCGTTGATGTCAGCCTTGGGAGCACCCATGGGAGAGGGCTCCGTTGATGCCAGCCTTGGGAGCACCCATGGGAGAGGGCTCCGTTGATGTCAGCCTTGGGAGCACCCATGGGAGAGGGCTCCGTTGATGCCAGCCTTGGAAGCACCCATGGGAGAGGGCTCCGTTGATGCCAGCCTTGGGAGCACCCATGGGAGAAGGGCTCTGAGGAGCTGCAGCACCTCCCACGCGTGTGGGGCAGGGCAACCATTGCCCCTGTGCCAAAGAGCTCTGCAGGTGGTGGCAAGGACACCGGGGCTGAGTCAGCGGTGGAGCGGGGCCAGCTCAGCTCCTGCTGTTGGCCAGCCCCTTGCTTGCCTGGTTTCTGCTCAGCTGAGAGCAGTGGGAGGCTGCTTCTGCCCCAGTGCTGGTCAGGACTCGGCCAAACTCATGCTAAAGCCCCTCGGGAGCTGTTTGGCCACTGGAGGGTCTCGTTCGAGGTGTGCTCCTCTGCCTGGTTTGGCTTGGAAAGGACCTGAAGAACATCCAGTTCCAACCTGGATCCTGGGCTGCATCCAAAGGATGGGAGCAGCAGGGCCAAGGAGGTGATCCTGCCCCTCTGCTCTGCTCCCGTGAGAGCTCACTTGGAGCATTGGGTGCAGTTCTGGGGGCCTCAGCATTAAAAGGACGTGGAGCTGTTGGAACAAGGCCAGAGGAGGCCATGAGGATGCTCAGGGGCTGGAGCAGCTCCTGTATGGAGACAGGCTGAGGAAGTTGGGGCTGCTCAGCCTGGGGAAGAGAAGCTGCGTGGAGAGCTCAGAGCAGCTTCCAGTGTGTGAAGGGGGCCATAGGGGTGCTGGGGACCGACTCTTCATTAGGGACTGCAGTGACAGGACAAGGGGTAACGGGTTCAAACTGAAACAGGGAAGTTTAGATTGGATCTAAGGAGGAAATTCTTTCCTGTGAGGGTGCTGAGGCACTGGAATGGGTTGCCCAGGGAGGTTGTGAATGCTCCATCCCTGGTGGTGCTCAAGGCCAGGTTGGATGAAGCCTTGGGTGCCATGGTTCGGTGTGAGGTGTCCCTGTCCATGGCAGGGGGTTGGAGCTGGATGATCTTAAGGTCCTTTCCAACCCACACTCTTCTAGGACTCTATCTTCCCTGTTCCACTTCTTGGAGGCAATGGCTTGTCAATAGGGAGCCCTGACCCTGTTACCTCTGTGGATGCAGTGATGGGGAGGGAAGTGAAAGCACTGGAAATGCTCTTCCCTGTGAGGGTGCTGAGGCGCTGGCACGGGGCTTATCGGGGAAGATTGGCAAGCAAAGGGTTGTGATCCCGGGCCTGGAGTGCAGCGCTTTGGTTTCCTTGGGCCTGGTGCTTCCCTTCTGCTTTAAGGACCTGAGGCTTTCCTTAAGGAACCCCTGGAGCAATGGGGTCTTGAGAGCACAATGCACATCCCAAGCTAAGAAGGGCATGGAGGTGGTGGAGCCGGGCCAGAGGAAGCCAGGAGGATGAGGAGGGGCTGGAGCAGCTCCCGCATGGAACAGTGGGGCTGGGGAAGAGAAGCTCGGGGTGTGAAGGGGGCTCCAAGGATGCTGGGGAGGGCCCTGCAGCAGGGATAGGCCATGGGGTGATGGGGTCAGCCTGGAACAGGGAAGTTCAGGGTGGAGATGAGGAAGTTCTGCCCTGGGAGGGTGCTGAGGCGCTGGCACAGGGTGCCCAGAGAAGCTGCGGCTGCCCCATCCCTGGCAGTGCTCAAGGCCACGTTGAAGATGCTCTAACGGGAAGTGTCCCTGCCCATAGCAGGGGGGTGGAACTGGAGGAGCTTTAAGGTCCCTTCGCCCCCTCCGTTCCGTGGTCCTACAAAGCAGCGCTGATTCAACCAAGCATCTTTACAGTGCCAGGAACCCACGTGGAACCTTTAAGAGTTCTCATTCTCTCCGCAGGTGCTTTCGTTATCTGCTGGACTCCGGGCCAAGTTGTGCTCCTCCTGGACGGCCTGGGCTGCAAGAGCTGCAACGTCCTCGCCGTGGAGAAGTACGTCCTGCTGCTGGCCGAGATCAACTCCCTCATCAACGCCATCGTCTACTCGTACCGCGACAGCGAGATGCGCAGCACCTTCCGGAGGATCCTCTGCTTTGCGTGCTCCCGGAGCTCCAAGTACGCCCCCACGGTGGTGAAGCTGAGCCCCGCCGACCGCAGGACGCTGTCTCAGAACGGGCACTTCACTGTGGATTCCTCCATTTAGCCTCTTGCTCCGCTCCACAGCCCGGAGGATGGGGGCTGAGGGACCTGCTCCTGCTCCAGAGGCAGCAGCGCCTTCCCTGCTGCGCTCAGTCCCTGTGGAGAAGGAGCTGCAGCGTTCTCCATTCAAGACTGCTGTTTCCAAGGCAAGGTGGATGGAAGGGAGCGGCATCTCGAGGTGTGCTACGGGGATGCCCCACCGAGCCAAGTATTCGGTACTTCAGTATTACTGCCTCCAGAAAGAGTTGGTCCAGCACTAGCATCCCCCCAAAGAGCCGAAGCTCTCCAGCTTTACGCCTTGCCTCCTAAACAGAGCTGCTTCAGTGCTTCCCCAGGGAGCCCTCTGCGGGTTGTGTCCCACCTGCCTCCAAAAGCACATCCTGAAGGCCTCTTCAGAGAGGAATCGGGTTGGATTGCTTCCCGAGAAGCAGATCCCTGCTCTCCAAAGAGTTCCGGGCTTTTGGAGGAGTGCTTTCCTTAAGCTGAAGAGGGCTGCTGTTCGTGTTCTAAGTGATGCCATGCGCTGTTCACAAGCATGGAGTGAGTCGTGCTCCCACGAAGCCATCTTTCTCCTCGCTGGAAGCCCTCTGGGGACAGGTTTAGGTCAGATCCCAAGGCAAGCAGGAGTTTGCCTTGGGTTTTCATGTGCAGTTTGTACCTTCATGCTCCAGGGCTCAAGAGCTCGATATGGTCAGAGGAAGCCTTTCTCTCAGCAAAGCCCTGTGTGGAGTTAGGAGGGTTAATGTTGGGCCATGCAGCCCTGGGAGAGGCTGACGGGAGGCAGGGGTTGGGATCCGGGTTCAATTCATCATTTCGGGGGGGGTTCCACTGGGTTTTGACCTTAAACAGCTCCCTGAGCAATTGCCTCAGCCAGCCTTCCCCGAGGCTCTGATGCTCGAGTGTCCGCATGGACTTGTTGTTCCTGCGGGATGGAGTGGAGGTGGCGGTCTCCTGCGTCCATTAAACCGGTCCTGGAATCTGGTTTCCCATCTCTGAATAAATGCGTTGCCCTGGGTTTCAGAAAGGAAGACGTGGTGTTCTTCCCTCCGCCCCAGTGAGGAGCTTGGTTCTCCTCAAGAGCATCTCGGGACTGGGACGTGGGTGGCTGGAGGGGTGGGAGCCTCCGGCGAGGCCATGAAGAGAACTGGAAGGTCGTCTCCATGCAGCCAAGCAATGCTTGCAAACACCAGCCTTGGCAGCTCCGGGGAGCCTCCGTGCAGTGGTAGGACTGAAAGGAGGCAGAATCCTCTCTGTAGTGCCAAAGCTGAGCTCTAGTTACCTTCTGGTCCCTGGGAAACGCTGGGTTTGGCTACAGGTACCCACTGGGGTGAAAGAGCAGCAGCTGGAGGAAGATGCCAACAGTGGACTCATGGAAAGCTGCTGCTGGGTGTGCCGGAGCTGGGGCAGAGCAACCATAGGCGTTGTCTTTGAGCATCCCCAAAGCAGGAAGCACACGAGTCCTACTTCATTCCAAGTTAACTTCACAGTTAAACCCATGCCAAGCTCCCTTTACTAACAGAGAGGGGGGGAAGGAGGCGCTAGGGTGGTTGAGGGGTTGGCACCAGTCTGATTTAACCAGGGGGTGTATAAAGAGCTGACTGTACTGCATGGGGGTGGGATGGATCTTTAGGGGGTGAGGCAACGCTTGGCTCCTAAGAGAGCTGCACTTGGCTTTTAGGTCCCATTGGGACTTTAACCCGTATCGTGCTGTTCTGAGGGACCTGCTTTGGGTTGGAAGGGACCTTAAAGCTCCTCCAGTTCCAACCCCTGCACCTTCCATAGAGCAGCTTGCTCCAAGCTGGCCGTGAACACTGCCAGGGATGGGGCATCCAAACCCTATCCGTTCACCCCATCCCAATGTCCCCAAGGAAGAGCTTCTCCCTAAGACCCCATCTCCATCTCCCCTCTGGCAGGTTAAAGCCATTCCCCAGTCCTGTCCCTCTATCTCTTGTCCAAAGCCCCTCTCCAGGTTTCTTACAGCCCTTTTAGGCACTGGGAGCTGCTCTAAGGTCTCCACAGACCACTTTGGACCAGCAGAGCACATCCCGACTGCTTCAGTGCTTCCTGGATAAACACGGGCTCTGCTGGGTAACGGCCAAGTGCAGCTTCACCAAGGTTAAACAGCACCCGATGAGGGCAAGGAGCAGGCAGGAGGCCACAGAGCCTTCAGGGAGCTTCTCCGAGCGATGGGAATGAAGGCAGGTTGCCTGGAATCCAGCAGCAAGCGCTTTGGGACCTGTGGATCCTTGCTTGGTTCCAGCCGGCTGCGAGAGAAGGGAAAGCAGGAAAGGAGGAGTCGCAGGGATTAGCTGGGGAAGGAAGCGCTGTTTTCAGGGAGATTGGGAAGGAGAGGGGGGATTTTAACCTCCCTCCCAGCACGGAAGGCAGGGCAAGGGGGGTGACAGCCCATAAATGGTGTCACAGAAGAAGAGGGATTTGGGTTTCTCCCCCCGGGACGTCCTGGTTTTCTTTGGGAATACAGGGGTGCTGTGTATGTTCCGTGTCCTCGAGGCGCTGCAGCAAAGGGTGGTGGCTGCTTAGGCAGCTTCAAACCTAACATGATAGCTTTGTAGACAGATGTCGGGTTTATGGGATAGCTGGCGTTTTAAGCCATGGAACTGGGTGGGAAAGGAGCTGAAGGTGGGCAGGGACACCTCACACTAGGCCACGGCACCCAAGGCTCCATCCAGCCTGGCCTCGAGAAGTGCCAGGGATGGAGCAACAACACTTCCCTGGGCAACCCATCCCAGTGCCCCACCACCCTCACAGGGAAGAGCCTTCCTTTATCTCCAGCCTGAACTTCCCTGTTCCAGTTTGAACCCATCACCCTTTGTCCTATCCCTGCAGTCCCTGATGAAGGCCCCTCTCCAGCATCCTTAGCAGGGGGGTTGGAATTGGGTGATGTTGAGGTCCTTTCCAACCCAAACCATTCCATGATCCTAAACTACTTTGTGTGTGTGTGTGTGTGTGTGTGTAGCGGTTGTGCTTGGCTATTTGGGAGCACCTGAGACTGTTCTGGTTTGGTTGCGGCTTGGGAGGAAGGAAGGGACCCCCAGGCACTGTTTGCAAGGGCTCCAATGCGGGCCAAGGGAGAACACCCAGCTGGATCAAAGATAGGCTCTGTGGTTCCAGGAATGGGAGGTCGTGTCTTCCCGGCTGCTTGGAATTCCTGAAGGGAGCTGCTGCCAAAGGCAATACGGATTTTGGGGTGGGTTTGGAGGAGGGGAAAGGCAGCACAAGGAGGGGGTGTGTGTGCGTGTGTGAGATGAACAAGGGGGAGCTGGTGCTGGGCTCTTGGCTTTTAAACCTCACTTTGGCGTCTCTGACCCACGGAGAGGTGGGAAATGAACACGGAGGCTGCGGGCAGCAGCTTTGCCCACAGCCCAAGGGAAAGCCATTGGTGTTCGCAGCGCACCAAGGCGCGGATGGAAGAGCGAGGTGAGTGCATGCGAGCAGCCTGCAGGGCAGGGGGAGCTATTTGAGCCCACGAACGCCTTGGGCAGCGGCATTTCGAGCCCGGTCTGCGGCTGGGAGCGAGCCGGGTTTGCTCTCCAGAGGGAGCCCGTCGTTTGCGTGCCGCTGCCTCCCCTCGCCGGGAGCCCCGAGCCCCTCACATCGCCGGCTCCCGCTGTGGAAGTGCCCAGAGCATCCCTGGGGGGCATCTCCCTGCTCTGTGGCCTTCAGCTCAATGCAGGACCCGTCAGCTGGCAGCCGAGGCCCTGGCTTTGGTTTGGAACCGAACCTTTCCCTCTCCCCCCCCCCCCCCTTTCTTTGTGCTGACGGGAGAGAATTCGCTTGCTAATTACAGCCGGCTCCGTTTGCAATGGGAATGCAGAGGGTGATTTATCAGCGAGCTGCGGACAGCTCTCCCCCGTTCCCTTGCCTGCATCAGCAAGAACTTTTTGCAAGCCCATTTAATTCCTTGTCATCTTTGAATCCAGCTCCTTTCCCCCCTTTAGTCAGGGTGCGAAGGAGAGGCGCTGGTTTATTAATCACTGTAGCAAAAGGCTGTGGAATACAGTGCTTCCTCGGGGGTGCTTGTTCCCTATGGCACCAGTCAGCATTCCCAGAGCCACAGGCTCAGAAGCAGCCAGGCATGGGAAAATCAGGTTCCCTCATCATGCACACCTGATAAATATGGATGTAGGGAGCCAGGTTTTGCTGCCTTTGGGGTCTTTAAAGGTGTTATTCCAGAACTCCCAGTGTTTTATGCAGGAACCTGCTTAAAACAAAGCCTCGAAAGCCCAGGTCTGTGCAACACTGAGGACACAAAGGGGTCTTCCTGAGTTGAAGGGGAACTTCTAGCTCATATACCAGGCATGTGCTTAAATTGAGGGGAGATGGAGATGAGCTCTTGGGCAGCAGCTCTTCCCTGGGGACACTGGGATGGGTTGAATGGAGATGGTTTGGATGCCCCCCCCGGGCAGGGGCTTTGGATGAGGGATGCAGGGACAGCCCAAGGGGAATGGCTTTAACCCGCCGGAGGGGAGATGGAGATGAGCTCTTGGGCAGCAGCTCTTCCCTGGGGACACTGGGATGGGTTGAATGGAGATGGTTTGGATGCCCCATCCCTGTTCAAGCCCAGGTTGCTCGAGTGGAAGGTGCCCATGTCAATGGCAGGGGGTCGGAGCTGGCTGAGCCTTAGGGTCCCTTCCACCCACCCCATCCCCGCCCGCCTCCACGGCGGTCACTCACGAGGGGGAAGGCGGGGTCGCGATCGCAGCCGGGCGGGCGGCGCTAGGACCCAAGCGCGGGGGCTGCCGGAGGCGGGGCACGTCGCGGCGGCGGCGGTGGGCGCTGGGCCCCGTTGTGCGGCAGCCACCGGGCCCGCACCGGCCCCGCCGCCGCCCCCCCCCCCCCCCCCCCTCCGCTATGGAGGAGCCATCGCGGCTGCTGGCGGCGGCGCACGGCACCGGGGGACCCCTGCCCGGCGGCATCCCCCAGGCCCCGCCGCCGCCCGCCGCCACCGAGCCGGTTGTCGCTGCGGGGCCGCCGGCCGCGCAT